AATAACACACTGCACCATATGGAATTCCGAATGGCCGCGAGTTTTGTTGATTTTAAACTTTGATTTCAAATTCTTTGTCTTAAAATCAACGATTACAAATCGATGATTTTCAAACACCATGATCTGAAATCAATGATTTTTACATCAATGATTGCGAATCACTGATTTCCAAGTCATGATTTTTCGACTCCGTGATTTCTAACCATTGATTTAAGTTCAGTGATTTTCATTCAACGATTTTCAGTAGTGTGAACTGACATCAATGATTTTCTATCATTGATTTAGAATCAATGATTATCAATCGTTGATTTTGTACCACTGATTTTGCTTCATCAAAGATTGCGCTTTACTGATTTTCAATCACTTGATTTAAGTTCAGTGTTTAAAATCAACGATCGACAATCAATGATTTCCAATATGTAACCGCCGCACCGTGCACCGGAAGAGCGACTAAAGGCAACGGTCTTGCGTTCAACACGTTCGACTCGACAATGATAACTCAGCGGTTTTCACGATAATCTGTCAATATTCACTGGCCAGATTTATTCAGTGTTGCCAGTTTTACAGTACTGTACTTGCGAATATGCGTCCACCTTGTAAAACTCGGTTCTGTCCGTTCTTCCCGTTCCTTAGGTTTCCTAGAATTTTTTTATTGCAGTGGCAGTTATTTGATTTTCATTTGGAAAATGGAAGTCCATGGAGAAGTTCTGGAGAACCCTGACATCCGCCAGCACGCCACTAAAGAGCATTTTCAGCAGTTTCAGATCGATATTATGTTGGCTTATTATAATGCTGGGCTGAAAATTCCTCATTCCGTGGCCCGCACGCATATCGCTGAAAAGATCGGTCAACCTGGAAGCCACAGGGCACGGGCAAAAACGAGTTGGGACTTGGTTCAAAAAATCGAAAAGAGAAGAAACTCACACAACTGGCAGAAAAAAGGAACAGGCTGGTGTGGGTACCGTTGATGTTATGTCTCTACCACAGGATGTCACTTTGCAGCCTGCAGATGTATAAAACCGGTGTTTATCGGAAAATGCTAATGTGGACAATAAGATCAATTAATTGCACTTGTGCGATTCTTTATGGTTTAATAACTGGATAGATGCAGATCCTAACGCAGCTGGTTTAAATCCGCAGTAAAGGTCAGGAGACGAGTAAAGAAGAATGAGCAGCAATTTACTGTAAATAGGAAGAGTTATGCGTGATTGCTGGCTGTTCAGCGCACAGGAGAACCACTCCACTAAATTGTGCGGGCGGCTAAGAAAATAAAATTTTGCGTGATTGCCAGCCACTACTAAATACAATGTATTAAACTTATTCATACAAATTATTCTGTATTGAAAGAAAAAATAGTTTAGTCAAGTTTAATTTTTGTATAAAACTTTCAGAGTACAGTACGTAAAAGTGCAGTTATAGAATTAATGCTTGGACAACACTGATTTTATAACAAATTATGAAGACAGCACGATACATTATACTACGCATTTGGTTTGGATGATGATGCCAGGCATTCCGAATATTAGGCAATCCCTGCCGCATTGAATTCTCATCGAGAGGTTCTGGCCGCGATTCTCAGAAATATTGTGCCTTAAATCTGTAAATGTGTACGTTGTAATCGTAAGGCCTGCGTAATAAAAAGCGCTTAGATGTAAGTATTGTAACCGCCCAATAACTACACCTCATGCCGCCACATATGGCAACCTACGTTGACCTTTTACTGCTGACCAGGGCTACGCGACAGGTCGTCGCGGGACATTTGGTTGTACGGACATTTCGTCTAAGGACAACCCGTTTTGTGGCAAATAGTCATATGACTGTTCGTTGTCATAAACCAGTCGATAATTTTTTGGCTCCCCAAATGTCGGACGACCAAATATCATCCAACAAAACGGCTGCATAACGAGTTGTCCCAAAACAAATTAGCCGCTGCAACGAAAAACCTGTGGCGATATGTCCGACGAAATGTCCCGCGACCACTTGGGCTGTCACGCTGACCAGCACCAGTGTTAATTTACATGTGCATTACTACTGCATTATGCGCTAATGATTGGTTATTTTGCGAAATTGGCGGCAATGCTACCTGCTAGTGACGCGCATGCTCGGAATCAATACTTGAGTATGTGATCTCTCCAGCTGTTTGTTTGCCGGGAATGCGGGAAGTTTGTGTACAATTTTCTGCACGCGTGAACAATAATCAGTTTCACAGCAGGTTCAATATTACTCAACATTAGTTAAAATTTTATAAACCGGGCAGAATGCATCACACGAAAAAAAGTGTATGTTTATGTATCTGCGCTGAGTGCGCTGTACGGAAATTTCAAAATATCATCTGATTTAATAACAAACGGTCTTTTAATTGTCAGAAGCAAAATAAAGCATATACATTAGAGTATTTTTCGGCATTTTGAAAATATTTTCGATTCGGTCGCAACAAACAGAACGAAGTGTGTAAGGATGCTGTACTTTCACATAACTTTACGTCATTAACATATGGATCCGAGACATCTCTTGGCACGCAGTTTTCTTTTTTGCGTCGGAAGCCTTATTTTATTTATATAACAGGACTTATTAAATTTTATTATATGTCCTTCCTCGTCAAATCTCTGATCACGTTATGTTATTTGTTGCGCATCCATAGGTTTGTAATCCATACGGAAGGGGATTACATGGAGATTAAAGGCGGAAGCAACATCTCTGTCAACAATATGATCACCTTCAAATAGTTATGCGGCGCCAGCGCGGGCGAGTTAGGCGGACATATATATATGTGTGCGGAGAAAAAGGAAAATATTTCCCTTAAAAGGTCACGACTATGTACGGTATATAGCAAATTGCTATATACCGTAGCACTTAATATTGCTATTAGCAATATCAAAGTGAATGTATATTGTTGTAGAAGAGACATTTGGGATTCTGCGGCAGTACACTGGTCCGTTTGCTGTTCAGTGGTGCACGACAATGTCGTCGTGATAGAAACCGATTCCCTGGATGAAACGGAAGCCGATCAGCCCAACAGCAGAAATAACGTGTGCCGGCTGATATAAAAGATGTGCGCGCGCACTTGACCTTTCGAAACTGTCCTTCAGTGCAGTGCGCAGGAAAAACGGCGAATTTATAATGTGTATGTGGTGTGCAGCTTTGTGCTAGTCAGTCGTGCTGAAATGCGCGACATTTTACCAAAGTTGACATTTTAAATATTTAATAAACCAAATAATATCAGTGTAATACGATAAAGTAAGGGCATATGCTATGCAGTTAACATAAAACAACATCGCTGTGAGTGGTTTGTGCATGGTGTGCACTTTTATCATGCATTCACATTCCACTTCTTGTATGGTTTTTCTGGGTGTGTTTGACGATAAATCGAAAATCTACTGTCCGGCATCAAAATCAAAACAAATAGTACGACCGCACACTTCATGCTTACTATACATCTAATTAAGAACGACATAGAAATTCACACCAAGGTTCAATTTATTTGCAAAATAAAGGCGCATTTCGTGTTTTCCACGCACCTTAAGATTCCACAAAATGTCGTTGGTATTACACAATAATTTATGGTACTTTTCCGTTATCCATTAAGATCAAATGTCACAAATTTTGTTATGTACTAACATCAAAGAAAAACACGGCATGCAGACAATAAAAAACAACAAAGTATGCATTCACCAATGCACAGTACAGTCAGTGCAGCTAACAAAAATCTAATTTTGTGCTAATACGGGTACTAAGGTAGAGAATGGTATAACCAATAAAAAAAAGCCGCACCTAACAAAAATTCACAAAATAACAATAAAACACAGAGCTCATCCGACATTAACCGTAAAAAAGCAAATGACACAAACTGTTCTTCAAGCCCAAGAGAACGAGGTATTTCGCTCTGTTTCTTCAAGGCATCACCACCACGTCGTCATTCACCGCCTGTGTCGGGACGATGGAGAGGAAGTGATGCAGCCGGCCGGGGTTGGGCAGGAAGGTGAACATTAACCGCTGGGCACGACCTGCCTTCTTCAGTTCGGCGGTGGTGATGGCTTTGCGGCGTTCTTTCTTCGTATGCGGTGAGAGATGGTAGAAGAAATCCTCCGGTGCATCGGGAAATGGTAGCCGGCCATTGGCGGACCGCACCTTCGGCTTGGCGGAAAGGCCATCTCACCGCTGTCCAGTTTGACGCGTTTGTAGGGCGGAGAGGGAACACGGATTCTTTCTCTTTGTCTTTGCCGTTTGTGCGCATGCTAGCAGGTACAGTCAACAGCGCATGTCCACAAAAGGCAATTAGTAAGAATTTCGCATCGTTTTTTCGAACCAGTGCTTGTAAAACAAGGCATATGATATTTGTTCAGTCAGATGCTGGTCGACGGAAACGAAATGTTTAGTCAGATATTTAATGTAGTAAGATAAGGCACAAAATGCTGGTAACGGAAGTCTTTTATTGAGATATATTGAATTTATATTTTCAGAAGACGTAAACCTGTAACGAATATTTTTACAATGGCTGTAGAAAGAAATTAAATTTTAGTAAGTCTTTTTAGCAAAAATGTTTAGAAACCATCCAGGTCAAAGGTGTATCTCAACGAATCAGTTAATTTTAAGGCACTGTTTTCAACACCAAATTCTATAGTCTAGTGTCCAATTTCAAAACAGTTACCTGGCGAATTTCTACTTGTCTCTGAGTAGTCGGTATCAGTTTTTTTGGCTGACGAACGGCGCATTTAATCAAAATCGTTTCAGTTTCACAATTAGTTACTGGAACACTGATAACCAGCACAGCAAAAGGCATTCCATAAATGCACATCATTATTCTGAAGTCAGTCGCTGCCAAGCAAATCTCAAAAGCTAAAATTAATAAATCGAAGCTTATTATTATATCTTAATGACGTTCTAATTCAAATCGACATAATTGTAGGAGAATGCCGACAAAGCAAAATCACAAAAGCTAAAAAATCTCAATATTGACATGAACACGACTCATTTCGTTCAGGTATAGCTCATTCCAGCGTCATAGTGATGCCGCTTAATCCGCAATTCCGCAGTTCCGTTTAATCTGCAATTCCAGTTTTCCACAATAAACTGCATACCATGTACCAGTACCTGTGAAAAAACATCACCGTATCTAGTACGCGCTTGTAAAAGCCACATGAATTACGCTGGTAAAGAACTGCAAATGGAGAAAAGTTGTTGCTTACGATTCAGTTAAACTGGAAATGCCCTGCATTTCATTATCCACTGACGCAATACAGTCCCGCAAACCTTCCAGTAGTTGCTCTTTGCTCATGCATCCGCTCGGAAGAGTCAGCTTGTTAGTACAGGTCGTAGCGGTTGGACGTCGGTTTCCGTCCCGTGCGAATGTGAATGAAACTTCAATCTTTGGCGTTGCAGGTACCATGTACGATCCGGTGATAAATCGTAACAGTTGCTTGCGTTCGTGCTGGCTAAACTCTTCCAAAATTATGTCATCAAGCCATGCCATTGTCTGGATTTCTTCGTCATCCGCAGTATCTTCGTTCAACGTTTTGAACTGCTCCAGCAGATCTTTGCCCTCCATCACAGCGCGGTACAGCTGCGGCTCAAAGCGTTTCCAGTCGGAGCGAAACGCCATCAGTTCCTGTATAAGACTACAGTATTGAAAACTTTTCAAAACCGCAAAAAAGTGTCACATTTTACCTTGTACATTTTTCCGGCTACCAGTCCCTCGTAGACATACTTCAAATTCCCGGCACGTTTGTGGACCAGTTCAAATTCCGCAATTAGTCTGCACAGTTGCTCACGTCCGTGTTCCAGAAGGACAGCACACTGCAATACAACTAATCAATCATACCGCTGTTTTAACATGGTTATCTCGTTATCTTACCGGGAATTTCAGATTCAAATCAGCCCACTCTCAGCGCTTCCTCGTTCTCCAGCACGACAGGTCCCACACCAGACATAATGCCATCGATCATACTGCCGATACCGGGACTGAACGAGAAAATATCATTGACCTCAATGGGAAGATTCAACAAGTAGCGGAACACTGAAGAGTTCAACCAAGTAACGAAGGGCGCTCCATGTAAACTGAATCTCGCAATAAGTGTCCGAATGCTCGAAGTGCAGAATGTCCCTTCGGTGACAATGGCATCCGACGATATTAATACAACTGTTGCACATTGTTCGAACAACGTAATGCCTAAATCCGGGATGCGGTAGTGAAGAAATGCTTGACCAAGCTTCGTCATGACCTCCTTATACGGGCCGTCCAAGTCAGTTGCACTACAGCAAATCATTCACCATAGAGACAAATGCATTTTTAACAAACACGGTGTGTACCAGTATAAGCCTTTCTGACAGCAGTTTTAGCGGCTAGCATAATAAATGTCTTGCAGCGCCCTTTTCACTTGCTAAAACATTTGCAAGAATTTCTGAACAGTTTGCTTACTCTTCGATTTGAATACATGGCCTTCCCCCATCAGCCAAATTAGGACCATGCGCATAGTGGAAGTCGATCCAGTTCTGGACGTTATCGTTCCCGGGAATCCATTCAAACACGTAAGTTTCGACTTGAACATGGGTTCTCGTCCGGTGACCTTACACACAACTGGTGGTTTGCGATTTCACTGGCGCCGCTGTTTTCGTGCAACATCTTCCGCATCACTTTCATCTGAAGGAACGTAGATGATAGGCACAGTGGATCGGAGACTTCGATGAATACCACTGACATCTTGGTTTAGCTGGGCCGCAACAGTGCCACGGCGCACTGGTTGAGGCGACGAGGAGGGTGAAACGTCAAATATAGAGTTATTACGAGCAGCCAAATCAGAAGTACGCTGGCTTGACAATCCTGATGTACTGGCGCCGCTTAATCGCGACGTACTGGCGCCGAAGGATCGTAAAATGTTGCGCATCCCACTGTTACCGTTTAATTCATCTAAAATATAACAAAACTTGTAGCTTTTGACAGCTTCATGTCGAAACCTCCAAGTTGCACACACTCATACTCACCGGTAAAACCACGCAGTCCCAGCTCTTCAACAGTCTTCCTTCGGACTGGAAAACATATGAACTTAATCAACCGGATACATCTTCATTCCCGAATTCTGTTTACCTCAGCAAATCTCTCGACAAGTTCTCGTGAAATGTTGATGATTCCGCTGTCGGCCGCAATGTACATGCGATTTACAGTTTCGCGATTTGGATTTTCCGAATACCTGCATTTATCGCCAAATTAATTCAAACTAATTTTCTCATCTAATGGCTGTAAATAAATGATACGTTATTCGCTTACATCTGCTGGAACGCCCATGATGGAGACTCTGTCGGCAAATTTGCTGGGAAGATGTGCTTCCCGGAGAGGTAAACGCGATCCGGGTTATTGGGATCCACCACAATACGACTAAGCAGAATCCATTCCCTGCCTTGCAAGAAATTGGCGAACTCTTCGTTGATTTTCATTCGAATGTGCTGTCCACTGAGCTCTTGAAAATTGACGCGTTTAATCAATCCACAAAATCGCATTAATTCCAATTCGGTTTTGCCCTCACTGTATAAAAACATGCCGGAAACATTACAGCTTGTGATAACCGTTTAACGCACACGTGTTCTTAAATTGCAAGCCGTATGCGCATAGCTGGTAAACTTACCGCGCTCGTTGTGTTGGAATAGCATTCTTGTCTCGGTAGCGGAACAAATAGACATCCATGGGATATTCGAAAGCGACCTGGGGAACTTCCAGACATTTCGCTGCGCGGGCGTTGAACTAGCAGGTGAACGGAACATTCGAGACTTTGGCGTCTTGCTCCACGTCCCCGCCACGGGCGCCTTGCAACGGAGACTGTCCGAACGATCCGCCTGGTGGATAACCATATGGTGCAGATGGACGCGACCGTGACCCTTGAAGTCCAATACTCTGGCGTCCGCCACTAAATCCAGCATTCTGAGGATTCAGTCCATGCTGTACTCCAGGCTGCTGCATGCGGGCTAGCTGCATTCCCGGCTGCTGAATTCGCGCTACCTGCATACCATTTCCAGTGTTGCCTCGGACTTCTGGAGCGCCAGTTATGCTTTGTCCAAATGATCTACCGTCATGTTGAACTGCTCCACGCGAATGCGGCGTATAGCTGTTGGCGGCTGCGCTGTTATTGATCGTAACAGGGGCTTGCGTGGTATTGACGCCTTCAATCGAACCGCTGGCAGGTGCACTGCGTTGGATGTCCACTTGACGGCCCAGAATGTCCATATAGTTGATCAACCTATGATTCCCCAAATAATGCTTACATGTCTCTTCCTCACATTTGGTGCTTCCTTGGGCTCGGTACGAAAAATCCACTTCTTCTGGAGTAGAGATTATACATCCGCAAGCAGAAGCCATACACTTGTATTTCCACATCGCAGGATCCGCCATGTTTTCGGCTAACTGGAAAAATGTTGCATTGACAATTAAAGGTTCAAATTAACTCATCAGTTAAAAACTGCAATTAAATTTTGCCCAAACTTTAGCCGCCTACACTAGCAATCGCAGTAATGATCGCTCCTTCTGCAGGCGTGTTCATTTGGAAGTGTCCAATGAAATCCAGTTCACGCAATGTTAACCAATGGCTACTGCAAAATTTAGCGGTCTGTTCGTGGGAATGCAGAGAACAGCCCACCGGCGGCAGCTTTGAAACTAACGTGCCGCTAAAAATTCATTGTTTCTATTGTATGCCGGTTTCTAGGAGTAATCGCCCACCTGGCCAGATCGGATCGCCCTGCTCCGTGATGCCGGTATTCTGGAAGAGCGGAAAGAACGATTGTAGTGCGTAGCGTAGTGTGCCCGCGGTCCGTGATGAGGCTCGTGGGTCCCGGCACGCCCAGATCGAGTAAGGCATTCCGCACTTTCATTTGCGTGGTGCGGTAGCCGGGTATGCTGTCGGACAGTTCAGCGGTTGGATTGGAGAGTTCACTGCGGAAGAGATTCAGTGTTTGCCGGTAGCAGAAGTCCATATCCGTTATCGAGGCCTGACATAATTATGCACAACATTACCGTTTCATTATGTGCAACATTTATTATGTGCAACGTTCTGAGTCTGACCGGAAAGAAAACATCCCGACCGCACTAGCACGGCAACGCAGACCAAGCCAGAGATCGCCCGCATCATTCCACAATTCCTGCTACAAAAAAATGCGGCACTGTCGCTCAGACACTAAATATTACCTCACACGGTATAAAATGGAAGTGAAGGAACTTAACAACCAGCAACAACCATACTAAACACAACCGTTCTTATAATAAACGTCTTTAGGAATTACAACCAATTAAGCCACCATAACTGTCAACATCAACTACATGGTATCTCCTCTAGCATTTGTCATTGTGTAAACGACACAGGTGAAAAACACACTAAATCATACAGGGAGTACAACACACTGACATTGCGTTAGTTTAAACCTGTACACAGTCTGCTTCGACACATCTAACGATCCACTTCCCGAAGACGATATCCAGTGCCCCGATGATGGCTACAATGTCGGCCAACATCTGTGCTGCTTGCCGATATGATTGATGGCCGCGAGATGCGTGAAGCCGGGCGCCTTGATTTTACAGCGGCATGGGGCGGCTGGTGCCGTCCGACACCAGGTAGATCCCGAACTCTCCTTTGGGCGCCTCCACGGCGGTGTAGGTGAAGCCGGGCGGGGCTTGGACGCCTTCGGTGTACAACCTTGAAATGATGGATTAAGGCCTCCACCGATTCCTGCAAACAGCAGATTTTTTCCAGTGAACCGGGTTATCATGGCATAAGTATTATGCAAAAGTATGAAAATGTGAAAGCCATACTGGCGCTGTTCTGTGAACGTACGTGCGGAATACTTAAACATAGCGAAAATAAGAGAGGAGGCGACGAAAATAGCGACCGTTAAGTAAGCTGCAGTATTCACAGAATTTCACGGAAATTAAAATCGTGAATCGAAAACTTCACATACCATTACACACTCAAACAGTGTGCAGATGTGCTTTCACTGGGTAATACGGACATGCTAATGAGATCACATTCGGTGACCAAGTGAAAGCCTCCTCAAAATGGGATTCTCTTAGCACCGTTTTGACCGAACAAGCTCATGAGAAATAACCTATCGGCTTCGATACGTGCTGTCAGAACATCCACATACTATCGTAATATGCTGCCGAATACTTACATTACCACTAACGTTGCGCATCTAAATAATTGTTTTAATTATATGCCTTTCTACTTCATAAAATTATTTGTGCACTAATTTGACCAATTTACCCATTTTACAAGAAACCACCATGCACCGTACGACACGGTCGTAAGCATACCTTCATTACCTTTCGAGAGGGATGCACCACCTTGTATCGTCCACTTTGATCTCGCCAGGTGGCATTTTATTCAGGCACTGATGGATGATCCGCAGCGACTGGCGCATTTCTCCACGCGCACCAGGTAGCGATCGTAGCAATCCCAGTGTGAACCGATGGGAACATCAAACTCCACTTGATTGTATGCATCGTACGGCTGCACTTTACGCAAATTTCTTTTGATGCCGGATCCTCGTACATCGCACCACTGTAAGAACGAATTCACAAGTTTTCATGTCAGCATAATTCTTGCGAGTATTTAATTCGGAATGAAACAGTATGATTTCAAGGAATGTGTGCGTACGACTTAAATGTGTATGCACTACGTATGAGTTAAATTAAGGTGCAAAACTATACCAATCTTTCCAACATTGTCAATTCTTCTCGTAGCTCTAAAGAAACTGAAACATGCAATGCCAGCAAAACATCAAAATCAACGAGACACACCTCATCTCATAAGCAAGCGCGTCCTCCGCCGACACCGTTCCAGTGCCGACAGTTCGGGCTTTCCAGATACGATTACCAGTAAGGAAATCTTCCAGTTCATCCAGGCGTTGGTTATACTTAATAGCCCAGTCGTAGATGTCATCCGTCAATCCCAACGGCAAATCGTACTGCACTCCACCGGGACAAGCATAATTCGCGAGCATCCGGGCGCCGGATAATCGTTCAAAAATTCACACAACTAAAAGGGTGCAAACATTTATCAGTGCCATTCTTGCTTTGCTTTTTCCACCTGTTACAGTACTCATAAGAAAACTAATTAGATTCATATTAATTACAATAAAATTACAGTACACTGCAGTTCCTCACTTGCTGTTGTTAATAAATCAGCGACGTCGACTTATTGCAGAATAATATGTAAGTACCTTTTCGCATTCCTCAAACAACCAGAAAAAGGCGTCATTGCTCTGATATTCAGGGCATGCGTATTGTAATTTAAAATACGAGTAAGTTCTCCGAATAAAACTGCAGAAAAACCCAGCACATTTTAACACTTACGGAGAACGGAGTTACAGTAATCAGCAATGTACGTTAAAAGATCTGTTAGAAAGAAGTAACAAAAAAATGCTCTATTCGCTTTTGGAAAGCGAAAGAAATTAACAAAAACCCACCTATAATCCATTCCGCACGGATGGGAATACCGAATACCGATATGGGAATACCGGAATATCGATATTTAATAATTTCTCAATAGCCAGGGAGAAGCACTGCTCATTGCACAACATGGACACGTAATCCAGACGGTCCATGTACGTCAGGGCCTGCATGTAGGTTTTACACTTGATTAACTTCTCCGTGGCGCGATGCAGCAACCCAATATGGGGATCAGCCCGCACCACCGTCTGCAAGAAAAACATCCATACAAATTTTAAAATTCACGCTGTCCAAAAATGCTTGCATAGCCAGCAAATCGGGTATTTCCTGTACAGCATGTCTGGACGACAGCAAAAAGACATTGTGCTAAGGCAGATACGAAGCATAACGCAAAAGAATTAACCCGCCTTTCCGTCTAACTCCAAAACCAAACGTAATACACCGTGCGCTGCGGGATGTTGCGGGCCCAAATTGCGGGATATTGCGCATTTTCTTCTCCACAGGAACAGTCGCCACTGCAACAGCCCGTTCCATTACTTAATATTCACAACAAAACACCACCACAGGCATAGATGCGCTGCCTATATGGGCTTACTGCTGGTGGACACGATATCATGTTTTCCCAAGGCGAGAGGCTTATCTTCAGGCTAATTTAAAATAAGAATCCCAACAAATCTTGACGGCCACAAGAAAACCGTGTGTGGTTTATCTAAGTTTAGCATCACTTTCCAGTTTCCACTGTGTGGGTCGGGCACTCTACAAAAAAAGCGGAACAATTAGTTCTAACAAGCAGGCTTTTGTATTCGAGGAGAACGGCTTTGGTTGTGCATTTGAAAACCTAAAGAATGAACAAGAAAGAAATGTCTTTAATAAAGCACGCCACCGTGCCACTTTAACCTGTCTCAGATCAACTATCCAGCCTTATTCTACAGAGCAGGTTATGGCAACTCATAAGATACTGCAGCCTATTACGACGGTTGACAAATTAAATTCTCTAATTGTGAATAGAAAATAAATGAGTCAATGCCCAGGCCATCTGACTCTCAAATGAGGATGACGGTATTACACGGCTTTCTCCTACGCGAAGCCGAAACGTACTGCACCGCACTTACGGAATAGTATCCCGTCCACATGTCCCTCGCCTGACCGAGAGACACAGGCCACAGGTTCCGCAAAATGTCGCGACTCGCGAGAAATATGATTGCCGAATAGCAATATTGGTTGCGGTTGGCAGAGCTGCCTGTCGAAACTCCGTGTTAATGAAACTGAAGAATCTGTAACCGGAGCGCGCAATATAATACAAATGCGTGTTGGGACATCCAATTTACACCGACATAACATGAAACAAAATTTAGAACGAAACTCACAACGATAGGCGCTTTTCTGCCATACAATCGTAGGGCTCAACCCATGATATCGCCTGCGGTTTACACTGCTGGAAAGAAACCTGAAGAAAATAAACATTATCTTTCGGATACTGAGATATGATACGTATAATCTGGTATACCTTCCACACTTTACAGCGCAGGATTACGTAACTAAGCTTTACGATACAAATGTTGTAATTTTTTACAAAGCACTTAGTAATCGTAAAAAGTACTAACAGTAAGTGTTCTTTCAAGAATAACCGTCCGCATAGCTGATGACGCACAGAATTAGCTGAGCAGAGATAATTCACTGTTTTAAACTTTTAATGATTATTATTTATTTGTGTACGTTTTCAACACAAGTACACTCACTAGAGTTAACAAGTTTGAGAGAAAACTAAAACGCCAAACATTTAAAATGTTCGTATGGAGTAGGCTACTTGAAAGTCAACAACATTACAAACAAAACTTAAAAAGGCCCATGCAGCAAGTCACATTATGCACGAGTTGATGTACTACTTGCCAGTCTACTTACCGACGCGATTTCTTTCAGTGGAAATGTTCTTCTAAAAGTTCTTTCGCTGCTTGAAAAACATTAATTCCACAAAATCCATCACTCGCTCGCACATCCATATTCGCCCTTATGAAATCAGCTTCAGCAGGAAAGCTACTGATGATGTCCATTACCGGAACAGCATCAAAAAAGCGCTGTAGCAAAAACCAAAAGGGTGAAAATTATGACAAAAATCAAAATTTTACTTTAAACGCATTTTCACCTCCGCAATCGCTTCTCACTCTAGAAGGCGCACCCCACGCTTCCGCACCAGACAGGAACGCTTCCAGCACTGTACTAGCTCGATTGTTCGTTGCAACAATGAGAGAAATAATCGTCCTGGAATATCCGTCTATAATTCCATGTATAACGAATCCCCAGCGAACCAACTTGTGATTCCCATCCATGTGCCATAAAGCGTTCGGACCAGGATTAGAATATACTCTTCGGGGAACAAAAGTGAGATATCTGTTAGCAACTCCGTACGGATCAATTCTTCGCAACGATGAAAGTATTCTCCTGCGCTGGATGTACAATCCTCCAGTCTTAAGCTGTCCAAAATATAACGGTATCCGACATTTGGAAATGATTCCAAAATTCCCGCAATCAATAAATCCAAATCAGCATCACTAATCGTTGAAAACTACAATTAAAACGAAAGATATTACAACCGAGGGCAACTGAAAACAGTTACAGCAGTTCACAATCAAGTAGTTCTTTAATAGCTTGTTCGGCCAGTAAACAGCCTGTCAAACTATGCACCAGTGCAAGCTTACCTTTTTATTTAAACCAGCTTCTGCCAATCGCTGCTTAACTGTCGTAACTCCAACTCCATAAAACCGAGCTATGTCCTTCACTGTAAATCCTTCAGATCGCAAACCAGCCAAATCATCCTCGGGAATAAAAAGTCTTCCATACGAATTAGTGCACTCAGTTAAGGCAAAACAGATTTCGTCCCATCTTCGTCTTCCTGCAGTCGAAGTCGTAAAGCACTCGAGCAATCAATAAGTGTATCGAACAGCTCCTGAGCCCTCCGCTCCTCCGGTAAATTGTCGCAAATATCACGCGTATATCTGCTAGACGAAACATTCAAGTACAAACAAAAATATTGTGAAACCGTTGCGGCGTTGCTGTTCAGAACTTACCCGAGTAAATAATCAACTTGTGTCAACGCTCCGTCAACACCATCTTGATCGTGGTCCCCATCCTCAGCTGAAAGAAACCGCTGAGCTCGTCTTACGACCGAATCCGCAAAGATATAAAATTGATCCATTTTGTTCTCTCAAGGTTCACTACGAAAAACCAAATAAATCTTCTAGAAAACAGAAAAGATAAAAGACTGTCAACATTGCTATTTCCAGCCAGACTGAAACTATATTCCAGTAGTTTGGGAAAACTCCAGCAATACAACACAAATTCCATTAAACCACCGCAACTGGTCCGGTGGAAATGGAATTGGAACCGGAAAAAATTTAAAGTCCGAATAACAGGTTTCCGGTACGCGGTGGCGATCAGAGTCACTCCTTTCGGTGCACGGGGCGGCGGTTACATATTGGAAATCATTGATTGTCGATCGTTGATTTTGAATACTGAACTTAAATCAAGTGATTGAAAATCAGTAAAGTGCAGTCTTTGATGAAGCAAAATCAGTGGTACAAAATCAACGATTGATAATCATTGATTCTAAATGAATGATAGAAAATCATTGATGTCAGTTCACGCTACTGAAAATCGTTGAATGAAAATCACTGAACTTAAATCAATGGTTGGAAATCACGGTGTCGAAAAATCATGACTTGGAAATCAGTGATTCGCAATCATTGATGTAAAAATCATTGATTTCAAATCATGGTGTTTGAAAATCATCGATTTGTAATCGTTGATTTCAAGACAAAGAATTTGAAATCAAAGTTTAAAATCAACAAAACTCGCGGCCATTCGGAATTCCATAGCACCAGACCCGCCCACGAGCCGTCCAATGGTAAGCTATTGATCTTTTTCTCTGTACTGTGACTTGTTGGCAAGATTTTGTTGGAAGTTCTGTCGTACAGTTTTCAAGTTCAATTTTTTTTATCGTTTATAAAGTAATTACGTAAGAATTTCAAATTAGAACTTCCGAGAGTTTAAATAATCTTATACGTATTGTGGCTTTGTAAAATCAGAAGAGGTTTGGATTTATTTTATGTTTAAACGTTTTGGACGATGTAGGCAGATCCACCAACCAGTTTGTGGATGGCGCCGTAAAGTCAAAGTGTGACAGCTTGTTTTGGTTGATTCCAGGATGATGTTCATGTTTTAATTTTTGCCATCACAGCTCAGAGCCCGCATCTTCTGATCTGGTGTTTTATAGTGATTTTTGTGTTGCTGTATCTTTGACGAAAATGTCAGCTAAAGCGCGCCACGTTCACCTCCTCGTGGGAGAGGTGAACGTCTTACATGCTGCCATGAAGCGAGCTCAAAAATGGAATTCTACTCAGGTAGTGTTTTTCGTTATGCTGTTTGTCTTGCGCTTTTGTATGACGAGGTTTTATTTTTTCATTTTTAGGATGATCGTAATCAGCTCCTGGAGAAAGTAGTCACTCTGAAGCAAATTTTAAGCAGCTGCGAAGGTTTGAAAATTTTTGTTTTAGCGCAGTCATTATGATCACTGAATATTCTGTTTCTGTTCGTGACAGTCGTTCATAGTTCGACTTGTTACAGATCTTGACCAAATTGATGCCAAGACGTTTTTGCTTCCATTTTTGGACATAATTCGGGCGGAAGATACCAGTGTGGTCGTTACTACACTGGCGCTGACGACGGTGCACAAAATCCTAACTTACCGAATATTAGGTAAAGTGTGAATATTCAGTTTTGTATTTTGATATCTTTGCACGTTTTGTTGTGCTGCGAACATTATAATAACATCATAATATTGTACAATACAAGGGTTTTTTGTTATACAAAAACTGTGCACATATATCAATTAGTAGGTGCACTGCAGCGTTTTTACTTGGATAAATAACTGAAAATTATTTGCTTTCTTGTAGCTTGAATTATACCATGCAGATTCGATGGAAAACTTACTGATTTAATTTGCATGAATGGTTTTTGAATTTTTCTGTGTAGATCATCGAAGCAAAGCAGAAATTGCTAGTGTCGTGGAGCAAATATGTAAATCAGTTACCCGCGCACAGTTTACCGGATCAAATCCTGCATCGGATGAAGGAGTTCTTATGAAAGTGCTGGACGTAAGTTATGCGCGTGGACATTTTTCCGAACGTTCTTTTAAAAATGATGTTGTTCTAGGTACTGAAAACATTAGTGATAAGTCCACCGGGAAATTTTCTAACGAACGAATCGGTGTGTGAGATCGTTGGGTCATTTTCCACCATGAGTTTGACACCAAAATTATCCAGTAAGGTTTCTTTTTTCTATTTTGTCATCGGTGCGTCTCTGATAAATTGTTTGCATAGTGCTTCTAAGGACAATATCCGATACGTTTCTTACCGAAATCATCCAGCACTTATTTGCCCGTTTGGACCGCGAAAAATTGGGAGAAGAGATGAAAGATTCGACTAAGCGCACAATGAAGAAAAAGGTGATCATTCTTGCTGCATTTAAATGCTATCAAATACGTGCCATCAGGTTTTAACTATGCTGTGTATGTAAAATACAGCAAATGATTGGGCTTCTGCCATAAAACTATAAAGGAAAATTCGCTTTCAGCTTCGAAATCATATTCTGAAACGGCGCGCTCCTGTTCCGCCTGTCCAACCCGCTGCCGTTCCGGAAGTGGCCGCCGACAGTGCCCCCGATGGAGAAACTTCAGAACCGTCGGTATCCACACAGCCGAAGGATTCCGTATCAGTGCAATCGGAATCGGTGGCAGAAAGTGGAGGAGCGCAAACCGGTTCGCAGTCCGATAGCGTTCTATCGACATCCGAATCCGTGTTGACGGAAGCTACGATAACCAGTGCTGGTGAATCTGCCAGTGTGGTGAATTCCGATTCCGAACCGCCTACTCCGGCACCAGTGTCCTGGAGTATGGGGGAGGCGGCTGCCCCGGACGAAGGGGATGTGGACGATGATTTGGAAGAAGAAGGCAGTCCAGAGCGAGAAGTCAGTGAAGCCGAAACCGTTGAGACTAAAGAGGATTCGGTGGATGAAAGAGGAATCCGATTTAGTTCACCGTTGCCGAAAAATGATTGTACGTTCCTAATCATGCACCGATTGTGATTTTTTTGGTTCCCAGTAACGAAAATTCTCGGTGATACTTACGTATAAATTCGTATTGTTGCCACTACTTTTCTGTACGAAAATGTCGGCTTGATAAGTTGCCATTTGTATTTGAACCACTTTTTATTATTGAGCTTTCTCTGCAGCTACCGGCGCTTATATCCCGTACGGATTGCCGGCCATCTCCGAAATATTGTGGTACATTGTTACCCTTATTCGATCCGAAGAGAAAATTGAACGGTAAGTTTTGAAAACTTTGCGACATTTTTGTTTTGCCGCGTTGAATGCGACTTTTTCAGAAATTCGGAAATGGAATTCGAATTGAAGCTGAATCTTGGATTAAAACTCCTGGGAACTGTGCTGGAAACATCGGCACATGCCTTCCCTGAGCATCCAACCTTGATGCCGTTGATCAAAGACGAACTGTGTCGAAATCTTACATTTGTAAGAAAGAAACAAGTTTACCAATTTACCAGTGCTAATCATATACAGATTTCTGGAACGTCCTGATAACAATTTTTGTTGTAGTTGCTACAAAATGACCGGCTGTCCATCTTTACCTTGACATTGCGCTTATCATTTTTTGTCTTCGAATCAATGCGAAGATCTCTCAAGCTTCAGATGGAGGTATGTTACTACTTACCATTAGTTTTATTCGCAACCATTTAATACAACATTCTGTTTTGCACTGTTTTCAGCATTTCTTTCTATCACTAATGGAAGTTATCTCATCTGACACTCCAAAATATACACCGGAACACAAGGAAGCTGCTATTGATTTGATTATTCGGTTATGGCGACTTCCTGGATTTATTGCAGAGATCTATCTGAATTACGACTGCGATTTATACTGCAGTGATCTTTACGAGGATCTTGTTAAGCTTCTATCCAAGGTAAAATTATATTACTTACTTGTATGTACCTCGCAGTGTTGGGAAATTCTAATTTAGTTAATTTATGATCTGCATGGTTTTATTCAGTGATTAATGTTTCCGTTTTAAACACAGATTTAACACTCGTAATTGCAGAATGCGTTCCCTGTCGGAAATCTGACCAACGTTAACGTGCTCGCCCTGGAATGTTTATTAATCGCCGTGGAGAAAATTGATCGCAACTGTCAGAGAGCGTTGCTGGATACACTTCCACGAGAACTTCCCCCTGCGGAGCACGCAATGTTGCAGAAACATAAAGTGAAGAAGAAGGTAATTTTCGCAGCGGTATGATTGAAATATTCTGATTACCTACTCGTACTTTAATTTTCTAGCTGCTCATAAATGGCACTGAATTATTTAACAAGAAGCCTCCCAAAGGCATTGAATGCCTACAAGAGCATGGCTTACTGAGCCATCCACTGCAGCCGGCGGAAGTTGCCAAGTTTCTCCGGGAAAATTCTCGACTGGACAAAGCTATGATTGGAGAATTTATTAGCAAACGAGAGAACACGCAAGTGTTGAGCGCTTTTATGAAGTATGCTATGATACCTCTTTGCCGATTAATTTGGCATTGTTTTGTAGTGTGTGTAAATTGTTTTTCTACTTTTATTAGAACTTTTGACTTTGCGGGCAAACGTCTGGATGAAGCACTCCGCGACTATCTGGAATCCTTCCGTCTTCCGGGTGAATCTCCCCTCATCACGCATATTATGGAACATTTTGCCGCCCGTTGGCAATTAACCTGCGGTAGTCCCTATCTGTCCAATGATTCCGCCTTTGTGATGTCCTACGCGATTATTATGCTGAACACCGCACTACACAACGAGACCGCCAAGAAACAGGCTGCACTGACACTGAATGACTTTAAGAAACAACTCTCGAAAGTCAACAAAAAAGACGGAGCGCAGACCGGAGAGGATTTTGATGCTGGTCTACTAGAGCAGATTTATCACAGTATCAGTCATGAAGAGATTGTTATGCCGGCCGAACGTACCGGGCGGGTGAAGGATCTCTATTTGTGGAAGATGCTGTTGCGGCGGGCGGATAAAGCCAGCTACAGTAATGTGGCGTGTGGTTCCTTTGATAGTGAACTCTTTGCGTTATTATGGGGACCAACCGTCTCCGCACTCTCCCATGCTTTCGACAAGACTGGCGACGAATCGGTAATTCGGAAGACGATTGGTGGATTCAAAAAGTGTGCTTTCATTGCGGCATCGCCACGGATCATGTCGTGCGAGATATTTGATAATATTGTGGTGACGTTGTGTAAATACTCGACATTGCAAAATTCTACGGATCCCATCTCGGTTCTGCCGATATCCTTTGGACAGAATACTAAGGCGCAGTTAGTGACCAAGACGATGTTTAATCTGGTGCACCAGCATGGAGATATTTTACGCGATGGTTGGAAGAACATTGTGGAATGTATTGTGCAGCTGTTCCGTGTGCGATTGCTGCCTGAATACTTTTACACCGGTGATGATTTTGGGCTGCAGAAGACGGTATCTTTGATCCGTGAAGATCCCGTTATACCCAAACAGGAGAGCGGAATTTTGAATTCGTTTTTCAATTTTATTGCTTTCGATTCCGGTAGTCGCAGTACGGTATCGCTGCAGGAAGAAACAGAGCTGAAAAATATTGCCAAAGGGTGCGTGGAGGAATGCAAAATCAGCGATCTGGTGATCGACAGCAAATTTCTGCAGAATGAATCGCTGAAACATTTTGTGGATGCATTGATTGTGACGGGAAAGAATGGACAGAAACCGGTGCAAGAAAGCAATCCATCAGGTTCGACGCAGGAGAAAGGCCCGGTTACGATCAACGAAGACCAGGCGATCGTCTGCCTGGAGACGTTGGTGAAAGTCCTTATTGAAAATCGCGATAGACTGGGGGAACAGGGTCTGAAATTGTGGCCCGTTGTGCATGATTACTTCTTCACGACTTTACTTCAGGTAACCCATTACATGCAAGTATGTTGATTTTTGTTATTTTTAGTGGCATATGTATTTCATCTTTTTAAATGGTATCTGAGAAATGCATGTCGTTGCACATGGGTCATGATTAAACTATTCTGTCTTGTGCAGGAAAATCGCAGTGAAATGACTTTCCTCTCAGAGAGAGCGGTCGTGGGTTTGTTGCGACTAGCCGTGCGCTTTCTTCCCGTGATCATGACAAAGAATTACAGCAAGAAGTCCTGCGGTCGTTAAAACTCCTTCAAGGCATACGAGTGGAATTCTTTAACCGAATATCGCGACAGGTGACATTTGCCTTGTACGATCTGTTTCAAGCCAATGCCACCGCCATTAAATCCAGCGAAGATTGGGGCTTTCTTTTAACCTTGCTGGAATGTGCTGGCGCTGGCTTGCGCTCTTCAACAGCTAAGGATAAAGATCTCAGCAAACCCGACAGCCCTCCACTGGTTCGCGTCCAGCCGGAAGTCGACTCCGATCGCGGTTATACATCCGACCCGGAATTGTACGACAATCAGTCCTCCTTGAGTCCGGCCGGCAGTATGACCTGGTTGATGGTGGGAAAGGAAGGGGAGATTGTGGAAACCGGCAGCGCTGGCGAGCGCAACATGCTGGTATTTCCCTTTGAGTTTGTCCATCATGACAAGAGCGCCTTCTTTACCGCCGTAGAATCGTTGAGGTTTTTGATTAAAGATACCGGTCGTATTGTGCCGGAGAATATGGCCGCGCTAGTGCATTGTTTGTGCGTGTTTGCGGAAGCCAGTGTGAATGGGAGTGCGGGGATTAATGGCAGAGTGCAGAGGACAGTGTTGAAAAAGATGGATAAACGATTACAGCAGAAAATCCAAGCGGAAAGACGCACGGCGGGAAAGAATCAGAGTCGTCCTGTGTCGACACCAGTTAGTCCCGGTGATGAAGACAGTTCGGATTATATTAAAGAATCTCTGGTGGTACGTTTAAAACTTTGTTTTGCCCTGCTTAGAATTAAAGTTTTAAATTAATCAGTGCATAGTTTATTTATAGACTGGATTGTGAAAATTATTGTATTTTAGCTGCTAACTGTTATTGATTATGCTGTGTGAGCTAATATAATGTCAAGCATTTTTTACATTTAATTGCATAATAATTACAACAGGTAATTACAAGTATTGTTCTTACGTATTGTTATTCTGTTTTCAGCTGTTAGATGTGATGCACACAGTCCATGTTCGGGCGTTTTCCGTTTGCCGCAGTATGAGAATTGATTTATGGACGGAAGTGTGGTGTCCGCTGCTACGTGCCATGGCACGGTTATGTTGTGATTATCGAAAAATTGTCCGGACGGATGGATTGACGTGGCTGAACCGGTCACTGCTTATTCCTGACTTGCAAGCCTTAACGCCGCAACAATGGGAAGAATGCATTCTCAAAGTATGACCTGACAAGTTGATGGTGGCTGCGAAAAACATTCTTTCATTTGAAAATTCTTCAGGTCTTATTTCCTTTATTACTGGCGTTGAGAAGTGATGGAAAACAGCCTACGAATATGGAAGAAACTATCGTTCGAGCTGCACCGCTGGTTTGCAAGGTTCGAAATTTGAATTAGCAAAAGTGTTGTTTGCAGAAAGTATTGCAAATTTGCATTTATGATTTTGTAGGTATTCTTGCAACACTTATCATCTCTTTTGAGCCTACCCACATTTGGGGAATTATGGATGTCGATCCTTGATCTGTTGGAGCAGTTTTTGAAATCCGATAGCAAATCGGATCTTGTGGTACGTTTGCTTTTCAATTTTATTATTTTCCTTGTTTTGGTTTAGTAACAACTCGTTGCAATTGCAGAAAGAAGCCGTGTTAGAATCAATCAAGAATATGCTGCTGGTGATGAGCACAGCAGGTGTATTCCAGGAATATACAGCGGGAATCATCCACGAGAATGTTCTGTGGGATAACACGAAAGCCAAAGTAGATTCCATTGTGCCCGGTCTGATCCAGCATCTGTTGGAAATCACCAAGGCCCCGCCGGCGGAACGTCCGGTTCCCGTCCGTTCTCCCTCACCGGATCCGTCCGCCACGGTACCCTTCCAGCTCTTGACCACGGAGCCGGTCTCTGCATCGCCACCCAGCTCGTCATTGCTGCTGGATCCCGGTATTCTCCAGTCGTTCCCCATTCCCACGTTGCCTCTCAGGGTCAGTTGTTTTTTTCAGATGCAGAAGGATTACGCGACTATCGTATTACCGTTACATTGGAAACGTTAAATTTAAAAAGCGTTTCTTAGGGTCTTTGTGAATTCATGTGGTCTTCGCCGACATTAGTAACTGTTATGAAGTTTTTTGACTTTTTGAAGTAGCTGCGGAAGGTATTGAGTACCATAAGTGTGGTGTTGTGTTGCAGAATGAAATGAAACCCTCAGGACTCACCAAAGATGACTCAGCAATCCCACCAAGAACAGCTTGATCCTTCTGGAGACTGAGGTCGTTCTCATGACAGTTTCCACTGGGAAATTCAAAAAAATTTTAAACTGGTCTTGTTTTTCTTTGATTGATCCTGTGTTACCACGTATGCATGGTGAAGAAAGCAAATTTTATGTTTTGCCTGCATTATTTTAAACCCGTAGAGAATTTATCCGTGCGGATTAGTAAATATGTTTAAATTGTCGCTTTTTATAAACCGACTTTTGAGGCGGATGATGTTCAATTCGTAACGGAAGTGGAGTTCATGAAGCAGACATTTTCGTTCGTGCTTTGTGATCTTGCGATCGGAATGGTTGCTTGAGTACGACAGAAGCAGCTAAACATTTCTGGTAAAAGGCAATCCATGAATAGCATTTCCAAAATTTATTCAAAAGGCAGCGAAATGCCAACACCCACAGTGTGCACTCGTGTGCTTGCACACTATCATTAAGTATCACCCGAATACTGCACTGGTGTGAAAAGTACCAATTTACGATTCCGTTAGTCCGGGACTTTAATTTTTCTTTTAGACGGAGATTGTCCGTGATTCTTTTGCGATTTTCGCTTATCACTGATGTTACGGAACTGTGGAAAGGTCGGCAACAGAATCGGATCACAAGCTAGAAACAAAACAATAATTATGACAATACTACTACACGCGCCAGAAGTAAACAACAGCGAAGCTATAAGTATAATAGTTTATCTTGTCATACACTTTAGCAGAGACTCGATAACATTCGCAGCGCTATTTTATACATATTTTGTGGTACTCACGTAAAGGATGCTCTTTAAAATAAGCACTAATCAGCGCGTCTTCCGCCGTGCACCGCCTCTGCGGATCATATGTAAACAAGGAATTCAACAAGGTCAATCCGCTATCGGTCAGCCAGCGAAAGGTGTGCTTGAGATTATTATACGGTTGCTCCCTTCCAATCTGGAAATCCTTCAAACGGGGCAGTTTACTGAGGCCGGGCCAAATGGCTTCCGTTGGTGATCCGAGGAGATCGATGATGAGGGTCAGCTGGTGAATTTCGCCCTTGCCCGGCAGCAGCGGCTTGTGGAGCAGCAGTTCACCAAGAACACATCCCAGTGACCACATGTCCAGCGCTGTGGTCTGATGGGGGCTTTCCAGCAAGACTTCCGGTGCTCTGTACCTAAAGAAAAATAACATACTGGTTTAAAAAGCCAAACGGAGTTAACAAAAACATATTACTGCAACGAGTTTCTGCTTAAAAAGGAAAAACCTAGGCCGATGCACAAGCCACAAAGTAAAAGAAAGCACACTTAGTTGGAAATCGATACAGATATTTATCTATACGACTACACGTAAAAGTTATTAGACAATTCAAAGTGTAACTCAGGAAGACATACAGTACAGTAGAATACTGTGATTAAACTTGTGTACGGTCATAGACAATCGTAGTGTATTGGCTTCAAATTCAATCATTCAATCGTTCAGACATTCATTCACCATAATGTCAAAGCGTTAAAAGTTCAGTAGAATATTACAATATTGAAACTAAATAGTTTCTTTCGATTTAGTTTTTCACCAACCTAATTAAAATGCAAACTTATGTACATGTACATGCATTTTGTTATATAAATTTTGCTCAGATGCGCTATGGAAACTTCATCGACCCAACAAATTACCATAACCAAATTAACAAGTTCTTCTTTTACCATAAAGTAACAACTCCCGGCGTTACATGGCTCATTTCCAAGGCCCACTGTTCATCTTCTCCAGCAGGAATATCGGCTAACACTCTGGCCAAGCCGAAATCGGCGATTTTCAGGCAGCCTTTATCCGTTAAGAGCAGATTGGACACTTTGAGATCACGATGAATAATGTAGCGTGAATGCATGTAGTGCAGTCCGCGCAGCGTCTGCATCGTTATACACTTGATCTGGGCTTCGGAAAATAACGGCGGCGGACCGGAAGAGGGTGTCGGAAGTTCGCCAAAGTTATCCAGAAGCGTCGCCAGATCTTGCTCGCAGTATTCCATGACTAGGAAGATGTCGCGCAGATTCCGTCGACCGACAGCAATTTCTTTTAAATGCACTATATTATCGTGGTGCAATTTGAAGAGGCACATTATTTCGCGCAGACCACTGATAGGGATACCTGTTAAAAAGCAAATCTCTTGTTAGTCAGCAAAAAAAATTTAAAAAAAAATCAGAATATTGTCACATTAATGGTGCCAAAACTTTGAAAATCAAAATTAAAATTCGAAAAAATAAAAAAAACGGGCTATAAATCCGATAAGTATACAAAAAAAACTAAATGCGAAGTTCTACATTTAGAAATTACTTTTTCGAATGTTACCTGTTAAAATCAGTAATCAAATTAAAAAAACACAAGGAATAACTGAATAATTCAGTTTAATTTAAGCGAAAATATCAGCGCACCGCATTTGTCACTCTCCATGCGCATTTTCTTTAAAGCCACAATTTCGTCTGATTTGGAGTCGCGTGCACGGTAGACCACGCCGTACGTTCCTTCGCCAATGCGGTTCAGTTTGATGAATTCGGATACACAGCGACATCCTCCTAACTGCAGAAAGTGCAGATGGACCGTTCATATTATTCCGCGAAGACGGGTTTTTTAAAGCATCTCACCATGGTATCAGGAGGTATTTCGACGTAGCTTTTATGCCGCAAAAAGGGAGTAAACAGCTGCACGGCATGCTCCGTTGTGCAGGATGCAGCGGGAGTGTTTGGATCATGGCGTTCTTCGGCAGCACTCTCCGTCGTATTCATTGCGACACAATTATGCAGCAAAATTCTGCAAAACTACCAGGTAACTTATTCGCACTGGTCCAAGCCGAGATCGATCCAGATTACAGATTCGAACGCACAAAAATTTTCTGTACTTATTAGGTTTAACTACCTTAACAAAAAATTCTGATTAAAACAATCAATTATATTAAAAATAAGAATGCTTTATAGTCCCATTAAATTTAATGTTCCACAGCTCATTTACTACGTTTTTGTCTGCAAAAAAAGGGAAGCATTTGTCGACTCCACTCCGCATACATCTCGATTTACATCAAAACGCGAATTACGCGATTGGGTATGAGTTCTGTGAGGCTGGAGTACGGAACGACCCCGAGTCATGACGCTGTCACAGACGCAGTACAAGAATCGCTACGGATCGAAGTCGAAGTAGCTCATCTAGTCGTGACAGAAAATTGCTTCGTGAGCATTTTCCAAACTTTTTTGAAATCTGCTGCTGTGATCGGGCCACAAAAATGACTCACCAGACTGCCAGATAGAGACCTGTTTTCTCTGGGCCAAGGTCGTTTTTTAGCTTTCTATTATTATTTGTCCCTCTCTGACCGTCTGTGAATTTTTTCATTACGAGAATCCTCGCAAACGTCGCCCCTATATCCTTCGGGATCTTCGCTGAAGATGCCCAGAAAGGAGAAACCGTGTATTGGTAAAACCTTCGCTGTCGGATCCATCCATGTTGTCGTGGAGGATGTCATCGCGGAAGGTGAGATTTGTCGGATGTTTTTGGTTTCTGTGCTCATTTTCTCGTTTGGCCAATGCCTGATCAGTGAGCGGAGTGTCGGGATGAACACAATATCCAAAAAGATCAGCGCAGTGTTGCGACGTGTGGTGATTATTTACGTGAATTGTAGGCGGATTTGCCCTGGTTTTCCTTACGAAAGACAACAACGGAAGACGCTTCGCTCTGAAACGCATGTATGTTAACACGGATAAAGATCTTGCCATGTGCCAGCAAGAAATTCATATTCTGGTACGTGGGCTTACCTTTGAAATAATACCTTAAACGGTTAAACCTGTTACCTGTGACCAAGTCATGTTTCTCAGATTACAAATAACAAGAGTTATTTTTGCAATCGAGTCTTTTTGGTATGCCTTACTGATTCTAGTTGTTCGTAAAATGTTTGCAGATTTTAATCCACAATTTTACCAATTTTGTGACACACATTTTTAATTTTCGTTTGCTTTTAGGAGTTCCTGGCAAAAGAGCAAGATTCTCATGCCGTGCGTTATTGGGCATCAGCTGTGAATGTTATTGATGAAGAAGTGAAGGAAGTGCTGATTTTATTGGATTATTATAAAGGTACGAGAATGGTGCAGACAATTTTGGTGTGTTAATTTCTCCAAAGATATTCTCCTTGCCACAAATTTTTTAAGCGCTGTTTATGATAATTTTACACAATGGTTAGTTTCGGATATTCAGCATGGTTTAAAGTTCCTGATGCTATCGGTGCAGTACTTGGTTTCTGCATTGCCGTTAACCGAGCGTAGTGTGATGGCAATTACACAGGCCTGTTCCAACGTAGAAATTCCCCTTTCGTTGTCGTACGTTAACGGTCAGCTTAGCGGAAATGCAATTACTTTTCTTTCCTTAAGGAAATATATGCTCTTTTTGTATTTTTGGAAGTTTTTTAAGGATGTTTTATGACCAACTAAATTTACTATTGTTTATTGTTGCTCTTTGGTGCTGTTGCTGTAGCGTAGTGGCAAGGTGTTTGAAATTCAAGTATGTAGTGCAGCGTCTTGCGTATTGGCAGAAAACAGTGTGCGTTTTGAACGTAATTTTTCAGTTGTTTTTGCGCTGTTAAATTAAAAACGCTAATTCAGTACACACAAATGTGCAGCTATTTTACTGTGCAAAGTGTACATCAGTAAAGTCTGTATTCTTTATTTGTAGGTGAAACATTTGTGTATCGTTTAAGCTGCGTATTCCGATCGCAGTGAGAAATCAAAACGTTTCTGTTTATCTGCTTGAGTGTTTAAAATTGAACCAATACAATAATAGCGTTCGGCTACAGTGCTACACTGACGCCGGGCATCTTGGTTAGCAGCATTTCTCTGGCCCGAATAATCAAAAGAGTGTAATGTGATCCGCTGGATTTTCTGCTGATTTCAGCTAGTGTCCTGCAGCTGATGAATGAGCGCTTCCAAACCAAACGCCAGCTAACCGAGGAGGAAGTGCTCAACATATTCTGTGACGTGTGCCATGCAGTGGGTAAACTGCATAATCAGCGTCCTCCGTGGATCCATCGGGATTTGAAAGTGAGCACAAAAAGCCAAGCAGCCGGCAATGCAAACAATATAAGATGATCGGTCGCTTACAACTACTTGTATAAATAACCGTTCTAGGTGGAGAACATCCTCATTGACAAGGATGGGCGCTGTGTTCTATGTGATTTCGGTAGTGCCACCAACCGGGTTTTTGATCCTACCAAGCATCCGGTGACGGAAATTGAAGAGGATTTGAAAAAGTATACAATACGTCTTATTATTTTGTAATTATTTGTAGTGATTTTGTAATTGATAACTGCAATTTATTTTCTCGAATTTGACTGTGTGAAGAGTCAGCAGAAGAGCCAACCATTAATTAATTGCAAACCATTAATTTCAACTTATTTTGAAATGATTGAAATTAAAAGTGAATTTATCTTTATTTAGTTGATTTCAGTTATTTGTTATTGATAACTGCAGTTTTTTTAGAACTTCACTTTGTAAGAGACAGTTAGATTAATATTAGGTTTACCTTGTTTCGGAATGAATTTCAGGGTTTCTTTTAATTATTCAGTGTAGTGTATGTTTGTTGGATAGGTATACCACTATTGCCTACCGTTCGCCGGAAATGGTGAACTTATACGGAACCAAGAAGCCCGTGACGATCAAAGCGGACATATGGGTACGAAGAAAGACTTCGATTACGATCGGCATTAGAGCGGAAACGCATTGTGCTTACTATTTCTTAGGCCCTTGGTGTGATGCTCTACAAAATGTGTTATTTCACCCTGCCTTTTGGCGAAAGTTCCCTGGCCATACAAAACTGCAACCTACACTTTCCGAGTAGTCCTTCGTATTCCAAGCAACTACAAGGATTAATACGTAAGTTTATTTCAGAATTTCGTAGTGTTTATATCAGTTTTGGATATTCAGTTATGGAGGAACAGTTTTATCGTATTTGGGTCGTGTTTTTCCCAGAGATTATGTTTCCGGTTTTGTTGTTGGCACTTGTTGTCCGGCAGCATGCGCGCGGCGCATTTGTCATCTGGTTTAGGCATAATTATCTCGTTTAGTAAATCAAGCCAAGCGATTGTGATCGTTAATTACAATGTGGATCTAGGGTACTGCCTGCGAGTTGATCCTGAAGATCGGCCGGATATCTTTCAAGTGGCTTATCTGGCCTGCTGGCTAGCCAAGCGTGAATGCGGTGTACTCAACCGAAATGTACGTGAGTCATGATCATTTGTATTTACATTGAAGTGGAAGCATGCGTTAGACGGTCGACTTTGGAGTCCTCTCTCTGTCTCGCAGAAAACCCCGGTGCCTAACCCCGACATCCTGCTGACTCAGCCGGAAACCGTACCGGCTCCCGCGCCGAATGACACATCACCGCCGCGTGTGGCCCGCCCACCGCCGGTGTCGACCTTTGAGTTCAGCAGTACAACGTCCATTGCGCCACGCGAACGGCCCAAACCGTCGGCGCAGTCCGCCGGTGCCCTGGTGCTGCCGCGGCCCCCGTCGAAATTCGGCGGCGCGCCCTTGACGCCCGTCAGTGCGCCACCGCCGCCGTTAGCCGCCGTCGTTGTCCCGCCCGTGGAACCGGTGCCAGTCAAAGAATCTGTGATGGAGAGTAAAAGAAATTTTGATTTGATTGATATTTCCGCGGGTGATACGGTGCAGCAACGGAGTGCGGTTGCGGCGGTGCCCCCTCCGCCCGGTGGAAGCGGGATTCCTAGAGGGCGGGAAGCGTTTGGTGATATGCATCGAAGCCGTCTCGAAGAGGTAAATAATATCACGAAGGTCATCGTAACAGCTTACGGTGTTTGTTTTAATTACAGTTGTTACTCGTTCTGTACATTTAAATGTTAGTATTTCGAAATGAAACAGCGTTATTATTTAATGAATGCTGTACAAATTATGTGGCAGCTTTGTTGAACATGTTGGAGTGCATTGAGTGCAAGTAATTTGTGAGTTTATATACACAATAGGCTAATATGCACAAGTACTTTGGCAAATTTGCATCTTTTTGAAACACTTCTGATTGCACGCTTAGTTTAAAATATTTCGGTTTTTTCATCTTGGATTGAAATGCGCTAATTTTGACCTGCATATGAAAAATGATTAATGATAAATCTTCATGTATTGGTCGTTTAAAAAATTTGAGTATTTTGCCTGATGAAATGTTCCATTTTGTGCTCCAGGTCGGTCAGAAAGTGCAGCGAATGGGCCACAGACGGAACACTTCCGATACCTCCATGATCCCCATTGTTCGCCCGGCCTCTCCTAGTCCCACGCAGAATATTAGCGAAAAGTCCCGGTCAGCTGATACTAGTCCCGTCCGCTCGCCTAACCCCCGAACGGATGTTAATAAACAGTTTTCCGCGTGGAATCCCTTCGAAGATGTCGACCAGCACTGGACCGCGCCCAAACCGCCTAGTCTTACCCAGAGCATCACCTCGCTGGTCCGGAAGGGCTCGGTGAACAGCATGACCAGGTTGGCAGTGGGTAGTCCCGCTGAAAATGGGGAAAAGGATAAAAAGAACGTTAAGACGACGGAAAAGAAAGAGAAGAAGAAGTTTAAATATCAGAAATTCGACAATGACTCCGACGAAGAGGACGGATCGGTCATCAGCGATCAGCCGCACTCGCAGTCGGAAAGTGATACAAGAAAATGTACGTAGATTATCATGAATAATCGTTATACAAAATTTGTTGCTGTAAGAATCTGTAAGATTCTGTTCGTTTTTAAAGATTTTTTAGTGTGATTTTAGCGACATAGCTGAGTTTATCCAAGTGCTTATGTACAATTAGAATCGTAATTGTTTTGTGGTTGCTGATTGGTTTTATAATGGAGTTAATTCAGAAGGATATGGATTCAGAAAGGTTCAGTTTATTTTGTTTTTTGTTAGCACCTTTTGCTCACCGGATTGGAGGATGTGTTTTTGTTGCATTTTAGTGGTAGAATATTTTGCCCATACTTTCTTCGGATCATGCTTCATGGTTATTATTTTTTTAGCGGTGGCATCCGTGCAGAATGACAGCGAGACAGTGAAAGACACGGATTCGATCGGCAGCGCCAGTGATTTAAAGCACGAAGATGACACAACCGATGACGAGCATCTCAGCAGTCGGCACACCACGCAACCGGATGTCGAGATTAAAGTGGAAGAAGAAGAGGAAGACGATCACTATGGCACCGTACAGTATGGCACACTGGAAGAAACTGCCAGTGCCATTCAGAGTCTGGCCTCCCATCTATCACTAGGACATGAAACCAGCACGAAACCCCTTCTGGACGACCATAACAATGGTTTCGATAAATCCGATGACGAAGAGCTGGAGCGCAAAGCCACGCCGGTGGCGGCCGGCACCCAGCGGCGGCTGACCTTCGACGGCGCTGGTCTGTTATCGGTGTTCGATCAGATTCCCTTCCGGCAGCCGAAAAAACCCAAAGACGCCGCACTGATTCCCCCGGTAAAGAAAGAGCCGGTGGAAACGACGCACGTGACGCCAGCGGAAGCAGCGAATCGGCAGCAGCTGTTCCCGGAAACCAATCCCTTTGCGGATTGTTTTGCCGGATCCGGGCGGCGCCGGAGTGAAGATAAGCCCGATAGTGTTACGGATGTCGCGGAAACGTTTACGGAACCGTTTGAGAAAGCCGTTCCCGTGATCGCACCCCCTCCTGTGCCTCCTAAGCCTTCTTTCTTGAAACGTGATGTACAGCCGGCGGTTCCTAGCGGCGTGGTAAGTCAGAATCCATACGCGACGGGATATGCGGTAGATAATGGGGAAGACGTGTTCGGTGCGTCGCCGTTCGATAATTTAACCGATTCGTTGGTGGCCAGCGAGAAGAGTGCCGCGGCCAGCGGGAAAAAGAAAACGAAAAGCCCCGTCTTTCAAGAGTCGCTGATGCATGCCACGAATATTGTGGCGCCCAATGCGCATTCCCCCACGCATGCCACCAAGTTCCGGAAGTTCCAGAAGAAAGAGGGAATTTCTAATATCAGTTTTGAAGATGCTTAGTACGTAACTGTGACCGAGTGTGACCATTTTGAAGGTTTGGTTTTTACACATTTTTTGATTTTATTTCTACCAGTTCCATTTTTTAGATTATTTAAGTTTTTGCGATTACTAATTCAATATTTGCTTGATTTCTGTGCTATCTTTAGCAGCCGTGCATTTTGGTTTCCTGGACATCTGCTGCATGTACTGTAATTTTTGGGAGTTGTGTGATATATTTGTACATTCCTAAAAATCCGACAACCGGTTTGATCGACATGTTAACCAGTACTAGAAAATAAGTCTGGCAATATTGGAAAAATTTGTAAGGGTATTTTACGAGACAATGCGACTGCAGGTCCACTCTGCATTACTTCGAAGTGATCGAACAGAAAATTTCGCCACTACTTACAAAAGTCACAAACCAGTCATCTCGGGTCATTAAAAAAATCAACCAATATTATTTCTGACGAAAATGTAAGCAAAAACAATAAAAACAAGATCTACTAGAATATCTCGGGAACTGAGAGATCACACACGCCTGTCAAAAGGCAGATTCCATTATTTCTTGCGACGTTTAACCGCACGGCCTCCAACGTTTGGCAAAGGTGAGTTTTTCACAGGCCGTTTTTTAGGAGCTTGAGATTCAACTGGAATATTTCTGACGTTGGATGCGGTTTCTGGAACACTCTCCGCTGGAATGCATCCAGCTTTTTTTTGACAAAGTCCATTAGATCTTTCACATCCGCCGGAGTTAACGTAAAAATCTCTTTCAAACTCCTCTCCAAATTTGCAAACTGTACTTTGAACGGTTCCTCAACACGAGGAATAACCGATGCGACCGGTCCAACCTTTTTAACGTTTTTCTCATCCACTTTGAGCGACTTGCAGATTCCACCCAAATCAAAAGGCATAATACCAGCATCCCGGAACCCCGAAATTAATTTGTTTTCCAAATTAAGCAACTCCACGAGATGAAGGGCGAAGCTCTGCTTGTCGGCCTAAAATTCAAAACAAAGCCCGTTAGTAATAAATATTAATTTTTTTTAGAAAAATGGTTGCAGGACAAAAAGCAAACGGTGAAAGTATCTATCTTTCGGAACGAAACACCTTGAAACTTTTACAACTTACTGCCGCTGATAACTGCATGGATGCGGAATGCAGATAGTGTCGGCAGCGTTCTTTAACCGCTCCAAAAGCGCCGATATCGAGGGGACGACGGTAGCGAGGTCGAGCGGGTGGCAGACACACCACCTTCATATCCTTATCACTAGCAGCGCACTCCATTAGTAATTCGAGATTGTCCAGGTGAGAAAACTGATATCCGTCGACAAAAATAATATTCTAAATGCACAAAAAGAAACGAAAAAAATTCCCCTGATATAACTAACAGTCTCTGTTTATTTTCAAAATAACCTATGGGCTATGGGTAAAATAAATTTACCTGAAGTAACAAAATAAACCAGCGATCAAAGTCTCAGTGCGAAAAACAATTTTTTTAAAACATTAGAAAGGAATACTTTACCTTTTGCGCTTCCATGTTCGGAAAGATTTCTTTTCTGACATAATCCGCAAATATTTTTGGATCCAGCTCTCCGGAAGTATTGTACGCGACACAGTAATTATCTCCAGCTTCAGCAATATGAGAATCAAGGTGTTCCACACCGGCAAAGAGTGCCAGTGGCCGCAGAATTAATCCATCCGCTCGGCCACAGAACAGCGTCGTCACCACTTCGCTGGCCGAGCCATCATGATCGGGGATAACCACTTGTATTTCTTGCGAAGTTCGCTTTAATTTCGTTTTTTCCAGTAAAATGAACCGGCTTTCGTCTACCGTGAAGAGTCCCCGAGGATCCGAGAGATATCCATACGCGTGCAGTTCATTGAGGAGCGTGACCCATTCGGTACACTGCTTTACGCTCCATTTGCCGGCTTTTCGGCCAGATTTGCTATGGGTAATTTTGTGCCATCTTGAAGCAATCTCGGGGTGGCGTCGGAGGAAGCCCTTGTGCCAGGAGCTCGACATGTGCCCATTCTCTGCTGGAATGACTACGGCACAACAACAGCACTTTCAAATTTCTGATAATGCAAAACAAAAATAATAAGATATTAAAATTTAATGTCTTATTTATAATCCTTATTTAATAGGGATTAAAATAAGGAAACCGTTAGTTATAGGCACCCCCTAAAACCCCCGTTTATTATAGGCACCCCTTTTCGCACCCCGTTTATTGTAGGCACCCATTTTTGATTAATATCGTGCATAGTGCAGACTACTAGATGTTAAAGCTCTGGAGCCAACCCTTAAGTTTAAAAAAGTTTTACAAATGCGTGCACTATAGAGAAAACGAAAATAACGGCTCTGGGGCTCGTATGGTACACTTTATAATCCGACGAAACCAATGCCCAGCTCGCATCAGGCTTGCAGCCAGCATTTGCGGCCACGTCCGATGAAAATAATGTAGAACGAGAAATGGAAATGGAAGAAGTGAATCGTGGTGAAGGTCCGTTTGAGGGAATCGTTAATCACCTTTTAAACGAATATACATGTGAAAGTCCCCAGCGCTTTCGTGATTGTGGTGCTGTCTAACACCGGAAGACTGAAGTGCTCCGGTGTCGCCGCATGTCCAACTGCACCTATCCATGCTATACGGTGGCGAACACAAGCGGGTCACTGTAGTATTTCCAATTGTCGAGTTTCTGTTGCCGGGGTCCAATCAGTGCGGCCTGATGGTTTTTTCCTACATTGCTGAAATGATCTGTGTTCGGTGTAGTATCGCCCGCGAACATCGTATTCACAAAAGTCGCGGCTCAATAGTATTACAAGCTGAGAAAATCACAAGGTGATAACGGCTTGGAAGGAAGCCAATAAATGAGCTGACCAACGAGAAAGATGACCTTATGGTCACCAAAAAGGGGCAATACAAATTCGCTCTAGGCCAGCTGATTTGCCGAATCATCCTATTATCGACTGGAAAGCCTGATGTACATACTTAACTCGTGCTAGAGAAGTTACGTATTGCAAAAAATTACTGGAAAAAATTAATTTATTATCTGAATAAAGCTGCATTATTACCTAACAACACTGAATCTACTATATATCGTTGTAGCTAAAAAGGGTGCCTACAATAAACGGGGTGCGAAAAGGGGTGCCTATAATATACGGGGGTTTTAGGGGGTGCCTATAAGGGTACCCTTCTTTTTAAAGAAACTGGTGGCAACTGTTTTAATGCTATCAGCCTTGAGGGACTACTAAAAAAAATAAAGATATCGCAGAGAATCGTAAATTACAATGGACCGTCTCCGGTTTCGAAACAGCAAGGAGAGTAATCATTAATGATTATCGTTAATTATTACCAAAATTAAAATACCTTTGTATTTTAACCCCGCCAGCTCCAAAGCTTTCTCGCGGATTTGAAAATCCAGGGGAACCCCGACTCTATCCAGACTCATAAGCATATCAGCAAAATGGCTTTCGTCAGAACGCGAGAATTTTCTGGATTGGTCTCCCTGAACTGTAGAGTGCTCTCCTCTCAGCTTGTGGCGCAATGTAGATTTGTGAACCCCAAACTGTCGTGCTGCCGTTGAAACTGGCATCCCACGTAAACAAGCGAGCAGAGCTGCCTGCATCTTCGCCCTTTTTGCCAATCTCTTCCTCTGTTTTTCCGATTCAACAGCTGGGAATTTCCGGGGATGGTCGTCATTATTCGACGACGATTTGGGTGAACTGCAGTCATTATTGTCATCACGATATTCGCCCGATCCAACGGATGAATCATCAGAAGAGCTCTCAGTATCCGTACTCGTATCTTGAGGCATGACGCGAATGAAGGAAAATAACACAGTAACTCATAAACGAAAAGAAAAACACGGAAAAGTGTTTTACGATTTGACAAACGAAAAAACTTCAAAAGACGACAAAATGTGTTGATTTCGCTCTGAAATCAGTATGTTATTCCTTGCAGATTTCACAAAACTGGGTGCGTGGTGCTCGCAGCATGGCAAGTTCGTGACGATGCGTGCAACCGCTCACGGGTGCGCTTGTGGTATTCCGACTGCCAATTGTTAATGTGCCGGTGCATGCAGTCTGTGCTAACAAGTACTTACTGTGTGAGCCGTTCTCAACTTCTCGTACACACGTGTTTCCCAAATGCTATCCCGTTGCCGGTTCTGGCACTCCTGATCAATAATGGGTTGAGTTCCATACAGGATATTATTGCCTATCCTGTTAACCCATACCAATGGAAAATAAGCCGCCGAGCTGCGCCTCTGTGGATGCAGGCGCATACTGTACCACTTGTTTGCTGGCTGTACGTCGATAAACGCTTTTCAGTGTGCTCGCTTTGGTAAATATCGCTCATACTTTTGTCATATGAGATCCATGCCACAACTTTCCCCCCCACTTTATGCAATTCTTGGAGGATCTTGGCGTAAAGATGTTGGAGCCAGCCAGTTGATGGTGTGTTTTATTCCGACATTCTAATGCACTGCACCGGTGAACGTCTGATACGCTACAGATTTCGCCTGTACATTTTCCATGCGGACACTCTGTGTGGTAGTCTTCACTTGGTAATTATTGGAGCAGGAAGCGCTGCCGCAACACCACATCCCCGTGAAATCCCTGTGCCGAACTGCATGCGAAAATTAGAAATAATTGTGTCGTAGGCATTACTGTTAATTGCGCATAAGGAGTCCCGTATTGCGGTGGATCAACGCGGGATTACTACAAGTCACGGTTGGTGTGGGTACATTATTGCGTCGTTCTCACCCATATATTGGCCTGCGACGGTTGGCAGCTGCGAAAAGGTAACAGCCCGAGTGCGATCTGGTTGAAATTTTAACAGCCGTACAATCAATCATTTTCCAATAAAAGTTGTAACATATTTTGAAGGTGTATTGGTATGGGATTTAATAAGTAACAGGTTGCGATATCGCTGACAGCACCATTCGAATTTATTTAACGAGGTACTCCCAAAACCTTCTGTGATGTTGTATAAAGTTATGTACCCTCTCGAAGATATGAAATAAAACACCAATGCTTTTTTTTAAATTCTCTTTAGTGACGAACATGACTTTTCGATATACCCCGCAAATTTTAGCAATGCATTATAGTGATTATACAGGAAACAACATTTTCATGCATAAATATAATATATGACGTTTTTGCTAAATGTTTCTTTATAAAGAAATGTTATTACATATGCATGCGATATAATTTTAAGTTTTTTCAAATTTTTCCGCCCAATAGCTTATCTTGCTTTTAGACAAACAATTAGCTACACGATAATCGCATTTCTACGAACATTTTTTTCTTAGTTATTCGTTAGAATAATGTTCGACATAATGAAATTGATTGTATTGGAAGCTTTCTGAATGAGAATGAAATGAATACGTAGGAATTTAAATTGTATTAGCTTCGATCCTTTACTGTCTCCGTCAGATTATTCTGTGAATTTACGAAATTCATTTCAATTTATTGCTGTACCAATTTACGATGCTTTAATGCTATTATACCGTACCTTCGTCAACCTAAAGTTTTCTGCAAATACGCTCTACTAATTTTTGCAAGCCTTATGCCAAACCTAGCCTGACAGGATATACGGTGGAAGACATACAGATATTTATACCTGTAATATCAAATATCAGCATAATACACACGCTACATATTTGATTAGCTGCAAAGTGGAGCACATTCCCGGTTTTTCGACGTTTTATGCGCCACAAAAACCTAGCCGTTCGGTGTGTGTATACAGTGCGACGTGTATATAGGTATGTCAATGGCAGTGACGCAATGTTGTTGTTGAAAACCATTTGCTAATTGAAAAACAGGAAAGCGGATAGGCATGTAGCACATAAGATTTCGCATTTCCGGCTATAAGGGACGATCAAGTTGGAGCATCGTTGTGCAGTGCGCCGGCAGACTGTGTGTGTCTCGCATGCCAGCACAATACACTGATCGATTGCTAGACGAGTATTCATGATCTGTTTCGTGTGTGGCTGCTGCTGGTCTGACTGCTGCCATACCCTCCGCTAATTGACTACCAAAAGAAGAACGCAACAAACCCATCGAAACTTATTACCATTGCAAAGAGTTTCCTGGATATTTTTTTGCTCCCACATCTTCGTTGCACAAGGGGAAAAAAGTGTAAGCCGGGGTTTTCTTTACCCTTGAAAGCCCGCGATTGTCCCATACATATTCGATAATGTTGTTATCCCGTCAATGATCAGTCTCCCTACACTGTACGATAATAAACACTGATTGGGACTCAATCGATAAAGAAGGGGAAATTTATGCCAGCTTAACAGGCGTTTAACTTTTATAAAGAAAATATTTATTTAAGCATGTGCTGTGAATGCTGCAAAGAAAACCGGTAGGCCGGTATCAAGTTGTACAATGCCGGTATAAAGTTGTAGAATAAACGTTAATTGAATTCGTAAAGGAAAAGAAAAAATTTAGCGGCACATTTGTTACTGCATAATTAAGTCAGCCGGTGCTGAAGAGGCGTTCGTTAGCCGTTGTACATATACAACGAGCGCGCGTCCATAACTGTCAATAAACCGCTCTAATTCCGCCTTAGGACCAGATGTTCCCACTTATCCTTAAACTTATAAATCTCCATAAATGAGACGTTTTTCCTCTTCCTTCCAATCTGATCCGCAAGCGAATGCGCGCGCGGTAGTTAATAATGGTTTTATTGACAATACGGAAGCCGGTCCACATGACACGCCGGACATGACCTTTACATAATATAATCTTCCACAACTGCCCGAGCATATGTCTGACTGTCCGGCGTCTAAGCTGCGCCGATATAAACGGCTACGATCGAGGGCTGTATTTCATTAGAACTTAACAGGTCGTTAAGCTGACGATGGATGGGATGGAGAATATCTCTTCCAGCTCCGCGAGCGCATACGCTCGTGTGCGCTTGATAGATATATGGGAGAACATTAATATTGCAACAGCCACCATTAGTGTCCGCCACTAACCAGACGGGTCGTGTTTTGCGGGCAAAGCGGACGGCAGACGAAGATTACAAAACCGGGAGAAACTTGAACTTGAAGGCCGTCTAAACGCTACCTTAATTAGTTGGGGGAAGGAGAGCAGTTGGTGTTATTGTGATACTGTATAAGGACGGAAGATGGCCATCGATTTGTACCGTGGCCGCACTAGAGCGCCGCTAGTGCATTAAACCACACCCAAGTGATTTATTTTCGTGTAAATTGTACAATGTTTGTGGAGCGCATCGAATGTCATTGTCGGTGCGCCGTCCCAGACAATTCGCCGCTAAATGCACTTTTTCGGAACGATATACAGATACATACTTCTACGGTTGGATGCCGGCGCAGGATGTTGATTATATACAGACGAAAAGCGATATGTGGTAATTTATTTTTTACGCTTCGCTGATGGTATGAATAATGTATTGCGTTTGCATTTGATCAACTATACATGCACATCAATAAATTATTTGTATTGCGTACGTTCTCCATGAAACGATTTACAGGTTTTACATAGTATTATGAATTCGTAATCTGCTAAATGATACTTTTCCGCGGAAAAATCATTTTCGAATTTTGCAAAATGGAAGTTTTAATCAACATTAGATTACATTTTCTCGTAAATTCTGAAGTAGATTTACTATTTAATGTATCAGAAAATATTTTAATTATTTAATAATTAGCGGTGTCAGATTTTCGTCTTCAGGGAAAAGATAGGCAAATCTTTATTCTAATTCTCGTTCACACCGGAAAAATGTTGCATAAATTTATAAGTAAAACATAATCATTTCGACGAAGTAGAAGCGGTGGCGCCGGGGCTTTCAGTGGACTGGATAATGCGCTGTTCCCGCGTGTCATGTTGCGGCAGCTGGTAATAAAATCGAATTATCCCCGGCATGAATAATGTGAGGCGATAGGGGAATTTTTTGACCAAATGTGTCGGGCGCTTTTGTCCTGGCATTTACGGGCGACGTTTTTCAATTGGGCGAGACATGTGCTTTTTGCTGAAAAACCTTGTCGATTTTGATTAATATGGTTAGTTGAGCTCTTTCAATTTGCAATACCATGCGTGTTAGACATAATTCAATCTCTTTCCTTCTCACACTGCATATATCGACACTGCGACCCGACGTGAAAAGGAAATGAGGCACAGCACTGAACAGTATGTGGCAGTTCTTTGTCATAATTATTTTCCAAAAGATATCGTTATGCTTTTTACGTTGGTATCGGCATCCACCGCATGCGATCCACACCGGAAGTTGTAATGTTTTTCTGTTCCTTTTCATTACAGCCGCTAGAAAGGAAATCTGTTGTTATAGGACATATGTATACAGCAGTGAACAAAACCGTAAGTTGATGTACAATGTATAATAATTTAATCAATGTTGTGATGAAATATGCAGAGAGCTGGATTTGATGGAATATTTAATAACGGTAACCACTTGCTGCGCATGCAAAGCAGACGACGCGATGTTTCATTCAGTTATTAATGATGGAAATTAATTGTGTATCGTGCGTGGGCTTATAAGCCCGTAATTGTCCCGAGCGGGGCAAGGTTCTCGCGCCTTTGCCAATCTTGAGAACCTTGCCTCTATCTTGTCTGGGGATGGCGCGGCATGCATGATCCCGACGCGTTTCCGCTTCACGCAAATGTTGTTAAATACAATCTGCAGTGCAAATAGATTACTTTACAAAAGCAATTTGTGGCTAAACGTGACGCATCGGTGGCAGCGCCGGCACTGACAAATTGTATACTGCCCCGGTATTGCCAAAGGAAATTGCATCCCATGTTGGCCGAAGCGTTAATATTCAAACCAAATAGTGCAGAAATACATTTTATCCCAACATGTTGCGAGCATTGAATTGAAGTATAGCGGAATCGAGAGTTATACTCGTATACGAAGCTAGAGCGCGGCGTTTGTGTTTACTATAGGAAATTTTGACCTTGCCGGAATTTTATCTTTCTCCCCCGAAAGTTTTACTGTTTATCACGTTCAAGCCTTTTTCATTTAAAAGGCTGAAGTCGCTGACAATTTATTAAATCACAGAGAAATCAAGGATGACAAGGATAAAGTACCAGCGATGATAATACAGTGCATGCGATGACAAGTATTTAGTTCATCATTACAACGAAGATTGATGAATGTCTTTATTCAACCAGCGTTATTATCAGGAGTGAACGCCTGCAGCGTGCTGAGATCACATTTTATTAAAGCGATTAAAAAGAGCTGTAAAAACGGTTCTGATATCGCTGAACACTGTAATTATTTTGGATTAAATATTGAAATAATAGTGACGCAACTGATTTCCTTACAGCTACTGTAGTTGACTACATGTTCATTCTAGTAATTTGGTTATCGTTTACATTATGCTCTGCTTTTTTTGCACTGTTACGATGCCTAATTCTGCTTTCGACAACTGATTCTTTCATATTTTGGTACGTAATAATGTTTGCAGCATATAACATTAACACTGGTGGTATGTAATTTACGACGTGATATTTTTCTTTATTCTGCTTCGTGACCTTTCTGTTCTCATATATATTCATACGTATATAAAATTGTAGGACGCTTTAATATGGGAAAGTAAGGACAATTGCAGTACGTTCTCTGCAGTGGCAGTCTTAAGGAGAATTTATACCGTGTTAACAGATTTACCCCTGGATTTCTAGGTGGGCGTTTAAAAGGTTTTAACTAAGGAAATCACATCGATCACAAAGGTTGAGAGCAATATCGGCGTAATTGGAAGGAAATGGAGGATCCGTTTACACAGAACCGGCTGACGGTTCACCGGCTGTCCACTGCCAGCCCGAGTGGCTCCAATTCACCTCGAGAGCGGAAGAACAGTGCCACACCGATACCAACCAACGAGGATGTCAATTTCTCGCCAGAATTCGCTGTTAGCAGTCTGACCTATCGCGATTTCTTTCCGCGCATGCTGGAGGAAGGCAGCTCGTTTAGTAGTCCGACGTATGAGGAATTCGGGATACTGGTGGCACGCGCCAATGAATGGCTGTCGTCACATAGGGAATTCGAGATTCTTAATGTGGAATGCGTTGAGATTTTGGCGTTGCATAATACAAAAACCGTGGATCCAAATAAAGGTAGAATACACAGAGTAAAACGTGACAGTTGGAAAATAAATCGCTTAGAGTTGTACAGTTGTACAATTTTAGATTATATCTCACACATAGGAGTATGAAATGTGTTATATATTATATGTCGTTTTATGTAAAAAGATTTTTCAAGCATGTGCGCTTGACTTTGAATTTGTAAATAACGGTTGATTAAAATATCATTGTTTCATCAGCAAAGGGGCAGCAAAGTGACACAGGAGGAAATTGACCATAATATTTTATCTAAACTGCAGTCAAAATTTATTTCAATACGGATTTTGTACTTCGAATTTTAAAATAACGCAGAACTAAAATGTTATTCTACACTTAATTGGCAAAAGCGGCAGCGAAACACTTTGCCGGCAACAACATCCACACTTCTCGGCTGTGATTAAAAAATATTTAGATACGCACTTTTTACTATGAATTTTCAAATAGCGCTGAATTAAAATATTATTTTGTTCTCAAGAAAGCGACAGCGAAATACATTGCCGGCAATAACACATATCTCCGTTGTAATTAAAATTTATTTATATGACATGACCTTTGCTAGCCAACGCCTTAATTGAAAGGGTAGTTTCCGGTTCTTAGAACGCATGCTCCATTACACTATCAAACCCTGTGACTTTGTCACCGCACTTTGTTATTAAAATGCCAGAAACTGACCGTTTATTGCTTTTTGCACAGCTTCCTACTTTGAAACCATGAAAGATTGGACGGAATTCGTGCGTGGCCTTAGAATGTGGTTAATACCGGCGCTGAGTCGTAATCGTCAGACGAAACCCGGCTACCTGCGCTACTTTGATGTGGTCCCGGAATGCACTCATGCCGGTATTGTCAGTATTGAATACACCCGGCTGGGTGTACTGGTGGAGGCACTCAATGATAAACTCCGCAACAGTCCCATCAATGGCGATGTCCTGGCTGTGCAAACACTCACACTAAGATTCCATTCAAATGGTGCGTACCAGATTATGATTCTATGCCGCTCCTTTATAAACGGAAAGCGCTGTGGTTTTTCCCTTTTTTATGTGGCAATATCGCTTGAGACCGGCATTGTAGGATAGTGTTTCTTTGCAGAAGCCGTCGATTCCAACCGCACTTGCTTCTCCCTTCATGGCCAAAAGCAGAAAATTCGCCTGTATTTTCTACGAGTGTTTTATTTGGATTTTGGAGAAGAGATTCCCGGGATGAAGGTGGAATGTATGGAGGAAGTTGGTGGGTCAACAAATTAGCGGCACACTGCAGACGGAAACACTTAATCGCTTCACTTACCGACGCAAGACAGTTTCTGTCAACACAATTCTCGATGTTGTATCTACGCTTTGCCTAGCTTATAAACGACAGAATAAGCCGTAATAATAAATTTGTATTAGAACGGTCGATAACAAAATGCGCCGGATATCGAACTTTTTCTAACGACAAACCGGAAATTTTCGTTTTTCGTGATTTCCCCGTTAATAGAAAATATGTAAATGCTTTTATAGAGGTGCAGCATTGTCCAAAAACTGTAAAATTTTTGGAGAAAGTCTTTATATGAACAAGACTTTGCAGCATTAATATGCTTCCCTTTATCAAGTCTCTTAAGTGACACTTTATGATAATGTAATTATGGCAGCCTCGATTCTGCATGTACCTTACCTTGTAAGTTTTGTTCATGCTGCGAGGAACCCTTTTTAAATTCTCGAGTTCAGATATATGTTGCAATTAGCGCTGACAGAAATTAAACTGATAACCGATTTCACTAGCTGATATCTCAACGAAATAATTTCAGTAATTCCGTGTTTTTGCAGGCATTGCCGACTTTGTTCCACAAATAATGCGGCAGCAAGTAACATCCCGGCAGCACATTGAGCCGCTGTCATCAGTTGTGACCCGAGCCGGTGATTGGTTCATAAGGTTAGTACACTTTGCTAGTACATATTTGTTTCGGTACGAAATTATACTGATGGCCTTTGAAAAATCGTTACAAATATAGGTAGCACGCAATGAAGGACATAATCATTTCGTTAAGAAATTATCACGGCCGATGACCTTTTAAAAAATATCGTTACAGATGTACACGTTCGTTGAAGTGGGGTTGTTCTATTTCGTTAAGGAACTATCCTGATGGCCTTTCGAAATTGTCATTACAGATACCAAGAGGACGACCATCCAGGCCTGCGTATCGTGAACATCCAGACAGTGGTCCTGCACGTTAAGGACAACAAAAACATAGACACACAAACCACCTTCTACATGTCATCGGGCGATGGGGAGCGTTTCCTGTATGAACTGCGCTTCATCCGTCTGATCTACGCCCGCCAGACCCACCTAGTCCCCGCAGAGATGCCGACCTTCCCGCGGGTGTTCCTCAAAATGTTCGTCCCCACCCCCCAGGGCACCGGTGACACGACCCACCACGGGAAACGCCAGCCGAAATTCAACAACCTCCAGGATCTGGTCGGCAAAGTCCAGGAATGGATCTCCGCCGATCACCCGCCCATCATCGGCATCGAGACGCACGGCTACAGCTCGTACGTCGGCGACGAGATCATCATCACCGCCGAGAGCCCGTATCTGTACGATCAGGGCCATCAGGATAAATTCTGGATCCAGTCGGTGCGGGTGTACTATGAAGGAGACTATGTGGAATCGTCGCAGGAACTGCCGTCTCCGGGGCGGTTGCGCGATCGCCGCGGAAGCTCCGTGCGTAATAAGCAGCCGCTGGAGGCGCGCAGCTCCACCGGCGTCCCCAGTTGGCCACCCCTGGCAGCCACGAGCACCTCCCAGATGCTCAATCCCGAGGTGCGCACCAACGGCCGCAGCGCCTCGGCCGATCCGTCACCGCGGTCGCCGCGCCGGCGCAGTAGTCAGAGTAATCGCGCCGAGGATGTCAATCGCGACAGGGATCCCAGTGATAATCTCCCCCGGGACAGCTTAGGCCGGGAAACGCCCAAGAGCGATAAAGATTGCAGTGTTATGTAATACTTATGTGTGTCGTATTCTGGCAGCTCCCTGCATCCGTATACATGTCGGATTTCCATAATTGTACATTCACTGTACCTTCGGCTTTGTAGATTCGTGGATAAATTTTCTTTTTGACACATTTCAATCCGTGCCTACCCCCTCGGTCTATTCACCCGTTCTATACTTATTCTTGCATTCTGGTATTACGTCTTTACTCTCCTGTATGGATAGTAATATTCAAGTTGCAGTGGTATAGCTTTGGGTATAGCATTAAATAAAACTATCTAGGCGAAATGCAATCAGCGACTCACAATTCTCTTCCATTGTCCGGCTATCGCGTTACGTGTACGTTCAAGGAGCAGTTGTATCAACGTTTATTCTTTCGCATAACGATGCCTCTCCGTGACCTGAGACAACAATGACAGAAGGACATTTCGTAGAAAATTACAGTTTCAAAAGCGTGGCCAAAATAAAACAGGTTAAATTGATTCTGAACAAGGGCACGCATGGCACTGGCAAACAGGCCAGAACTGCACTACGCACCCGCTCGTCGCTAGTTCCTTTGACGTTGAAACTGGGACACCACTAGTGACAATGGTGGGTAAAAATAAAATAATCATTCCAGCTGCTGTCTATTGGATTCAAAACTCACATAAAGCGTTAACGTTCTCCTCCGAGGAAATTAAGTTGGCTTTAATTCGCTATCTTGAATTAGCGGTTTCTCAGTTGATCTGTGTATATATATGACTGATCGTAACGAGTTCTTAGCGGCTGCTAAATTCTGAGCACGATGGCCGCAACAGTTTTGTACCTGCGCCAAATGTACTCGGGTCGTCGGGACGTGAGCTACGGGAACACCGTGCTGGTGCAGCGGGACAGCGGCCAGTGGTGGCTGGGTTACGTCCAGGATATGGACGGCGACCACTTCTACGTTGATTTCGACGCCAGCACCATAACCGCCCACTGGATTCACTCCCGGCACCTCTGGCCGCACTGTTTCCTGTCCAGTGCTCAGCTACGCTCTGGTTCACACCTGCCGGTTGCATTGCGCGATGTCGAGGATGGCCCGCTAGTGTTACGCATTGGGACGGTCATTACGGTCATATGTGATGTCTTCGTCGCTGTTCGCCTCGATGATCACAGTAATCCAACCCATGCAGCCAGTACCTGCTTCATCCATCGCTCGCAACTTGTCGCACAACTGCCGACCGAAGATCCTAGCTTCTTCGGCCGGCTTGACGGACTCGTGTACCGTAAACATGTTATCGGCTTCGATCAGGCACATTTGCTGCGTGAAGTGGACTTCCTGCCCACGTATTTGTTGTGCACATGCGCTTAATTTTGGGCAGTACTGACCATGTGTGCAATGCCAGTTGTCAGTTTGCACGGCGTGATAACGTGAGTAGTATGCGGTTCCAGTGTTTTGTGCACCATGTGGCGTATGAACTGAATGTGGGCTGCCGGGTGTTTGCGCGCGTGGGGACGGACACGGTGACCTTCATCTGCGCTGAAATGCACGGCGACGTCGCAGGGCGTAGTTTGCTTTGGAATGAAGGGTCCCTAACGGAAGCTTGCCAGACGTACCTCGATAAGCAACAATTTCGCAATGCCGGCAGAAATATCACCCGGAATTGTGGAACCGGCGCAACCCAGCTGGGTAAGTGAAACAGTAACTGTTAAACACATTATTATATTAATAAAATTCTAGTTAGTAGTCGAAGACAGTTTGGCTTTTTATTTCCTGTCGGAACGGCTGAAGTGTCTTCCGAGCAGCACCTATGGCAGTACTTACAGAAGCGGTACTTACTTTTGCAGGTGTGGAAGAGACCAATATCACGGATCTGCCACATGTGGTTTTGGCCTGTATTCTGTATGACCTGGATATCATTACTCGCTACTTGAGGATAAACCGGTTAGACCATTATTTTTGTTTATTAGCGCAACTAGACAGTTACACTCATCAAGTTTATAATGAGAACAAACTTAATTACAACAAAAATATCTTAATTACAAGAAATAGACCATCATAATTGGTCTGTTCCTCTATCTAAAAATACCGTTGACGTGTATTATTACTTAATTTTGTCTTTGCAGAGTCTGCGCGCTGTGGAAGGATCTCTTGCTGGAACCCATAGCGGATCAGCACATCGTCTTCGATGTCTATCCCCTTTGCTTTAGAGGATTTTTCAACGCAGACGAATCTGCCCGGTTCGCACACAAGTTGATCGCGCTGCTGAACACTTACCCTTCGCAGCATACTCGCAGCATGACGTTCACTAACGACGGAAAGCGTCATCTGCATTACAAAATTAACTTCCGACAGACTGTATGGAATAGTGCGCAGTTGCTGCAAATAAAGACCTTTCGCCTGCCAGTTATTGTCCTAAAGGACTATGCAGATGTCGCGGAGCACGAAGGACAGGTTTTTCTGGACATCACCAGGAATGCCCAGACGGGACACTATGAATGCGAACAGCTGTCGTGGTTGTTGTCCATGTGTAAGGAACTGCTGCTCGTTAACTTCACCGCGTCCATTCAGTCATGCTTTGATGCTCTAATGCGCGCTCTGTTCCATTATGAAGCTGGCAGCACGGTATGGCTAGAATCCGGAGGCGAAAGCGAGCGGCGGAAGATGCCAGCAGCGCACTTGAACGTGCTCATTCCTTTTCTGCGCTTCAGTTGCACGGAGACGCCAGCGGAACAGTGTCGACGCTTCATAGCCGCAGTCAACGATAACTGTCCGGCCGTTGGCTGTGACGTGTACGCAAGGGTCAAGAGGATGCACTGGCGCTGGGTGCAGACGTTGTACCCCGACGAATGGACTGGCATTCGCGAGTTTCTCACTCTGTGAGTGTATATACAAAAACAATTTAAATTCGGTTATAATGCGGCGATATCCTCTTGATCCAGGTTCAGCAGTGTTCGCTTTGACGGACAGCCACAGTGTTGGAATGGCGTTGACCTGAAGGAAATGGATGTGTCGCTGCTAAGTCCATTATCTCTGCACATGTTGGACAAATACTTGGCAGACTAAGGCCCATGTCAACGAAGCAACAAGATTATAGAATTTTAGTATCTTTTGCAGCGGCTGACTTATTTATAATGCATTCTTCGTCGAAGAGTTCCGTTTTTTGTTATTATTGCTGATAATGGGATATATATTAGCTGATTATGGTAATTGTTTGTTAGAGTGGCAATATTTTTTTTTGTTTTATTCTTATTGTCTTTTGTTAATTCTTGTTTCTGTAATTGTACCGTTAAGAAATGTCGAGCGTTTGTTGGTTACGAAATATGAAGGACGAAGCTGGAAGCTTAAGCATTCGCATAACGTAGAATATGAATTAATCGTTACCACAGATTGGCACAGAGCACAGAATGCTGTACTTAACTCACCGTGAGAAAAAGGGTGTTGCGTAAAATCCCCTTAAAACCCTTAAAACGTATAGCAAAAACCAACGCCTACTTGTTATCTAGTATCTACCCACGTTTGTCTTTGGTTAAGGCAGTTGCATAAAGGTCACAGGAATGATTAATGTGAGATAGATGGAAAGTGACATCAGAAAGATGAAGAGATGTCACCACACATGTATATAAACCAGTGCATCGTACACAGCACACATAAACCAGTGCGTCTCCTGTTATTTCCTGCGCGCGAATCACATCGGCTTCTAGATTGACCCAGCATCGGATCCATCGCCAGATGCGGGAATGACGGTATTATGACTCGCGCTAAAATGTAAATTTACTGTAGGTGTCGCTTGCATGCATTTATGTATGCAAGCGACAAGATCCCCCGAGTAAAACAACTTGCAAAAAAAACGTTAGCTGAACGTTAGTAGACGGCTAAAATTTACACACCTCCGTTCACCTAACAATAGTTACACGTTAAACTAACGTTTTTCCTGCAAGTTGTTTTACTCGGGTCAGTATATTGTGCTGGTATACTTTGTATGTTTTTCTGCCATTTGTTTATAAATTGCAAACAGCACTCTTGAAACTTGTTTTTTTACAACGCATTAAATCATACTTCTATCGTCATAAAAGTACGGACTGGGTATCAAAAAACAAGATTTATAACAATAGAAATATACTACATAGTATCACATAGAGCTGTTTTCTCTGTTAGCAGTGCCTGCGATCACATCCGGATGCATGGTATTGGTCAATCCTTCGCATTTCTATCGCAGCCTGTTAAGGGAGCGCTCAGTTACTACGTTATAACATTATATACATATGAACTGTGAAACATTTTGCTATAATTACAGTATATGAGCATTATCAAAGGTCAACCTTTCTGTGTGCGGACAATATCAAAATTATTGTTGTATCATCCGAATCTGGCTGCTCACTTGATTTTTAACGCTTTTGAGACTTGATAAGTTTACAGCCATAAACTGAATGTTCCATACCATAGATTGATTCTTCTTTATAGTAGCACAACATCGGTAATAAAATACGAGGTAATCCATGGTAATTTGCCTGGGCGACGTCCATGAACAATACCAGTACAGTCCAAAACAGCAAGACTACTTAAATTAATTTTCTATCGGATCAGTTACCCGATCATCCCCGATTCGCATGCTCATTCCTCATATCGCAGCATATTAAAAAACGCCCAATTACAACTAAGTAGGTAAGTCACATGATCATATACATGTCAGAAAATTTTTGTAGCGAGTTATCGAAGGTTAACACTGGCCGTACGTCACGTTCCTTGCTTTTTTCTATAGGCCGTTAAGGCAGATAGAGTGGTTTCGCGCCGGTCGAGTTCTAATCGATACATATTTAACAAAAATTATTCGCAACCTCTTGTTCTTAATTTTTTAACGAAGAAAGACAAAAGAAAACACTTTTCGTTGAGAAAAATCAAAAAGGAAAAGTACGGGAATATTCAGAAATTTGCAAGATGAAAAACTGAATTGCGCTACACCACCGGGCGGTTGTGAATGTTTCAAGCGCCGGAAGTCTTTGAATTTCCTTTATTTACAATTTTCAGATAGATTTTGTTTTGAAACAAAAATAAAGCTTGACAGAAAATTGAATTTCACAGGAATACAGGCCAGCCCTGAGGGAAACGTTTAAATGCGGCTGCATTTGTTAAACGGGTTTGCTTACCGGAAAGACAGTGAAAATAGGCGAGCGCACTGTACCTGTTCTTGTCTATATATTGTAAATGATTTCTGTTAGCGTGCACGTACTGAATTATGCAACCTATGAAAAGTTTAAAGAGTGAAAAAAACTTTCATTAATTTTGTTTCTACATTTCGGTGTTGAAAAAACAAATAATATAAATGTATCTTCGGTACCCCGATGCTTCATCTCCCGAACAAATGGACGTTGTAAACCGGAAACTTGCCAGTGCGACGGGCCAGCCGCCGGTGCATTGAACCTTCCCTTCTATCCAGGTAAAACAGCGTCAATAAAATTCACGTTGTATGGACTGTACTTACTACAAAAGTGCGCAGTCGTACGTACTCTGTACGTATAGAGTTGGTAGTGGCCACAGGCCCACACTTAGCTCATTCATTGACCGTCACACCGACAATAGCACATACAGTCCCCGCTTGGCAGTTTTAAAACACCTTCTTCCTCAAGAGTGTTAATTTTGCAACCAGGAGTGCTAATTTTGCAATCAGAATCAAGTGAGGGTAGTATTGATGAAATCCTAGCACAATGCGGGCCGATGCAGATGCTGCAGGTGCATAATGTGTGCAACAGCACGGGATCCATGATCGGTTATGTTCGGCCGTTTTAGTTTTGGCATTTGAATGCTGTACTGCTGTCAAAAAGAAAAAAGTCGCCATTTCGAGAACTGCCTTCTTTCTCATTGATTACGGATTTACTTATTCGCGTGCTGCCCTAATATTCCCAGCGTCGCGGAGAAGGATTTGTTTATTTTGATATATTATCCAGTGGAATAAGTGAATGTCCTTCTGACCATCTGGATTCGCATGCGGAAGTGACAGCTAGCATGCGTATGTTATCGCTCTGCACAGCAAGCACGTGAAGGTTAGTTCTCTCGCCCTTTTGCATGATGCGTAAAGTAGTTCTTCCGAAAAATTTGATGATCCAGAGAGTTGCTAATCTGTGTGACGGGATTCTGTTTCCTGTGCTTGAGATCTTGCGGTAAACAGTTTGTCTTCCTTATTTATGCAGTTCTTTCTGTAGTTTGCAATTTTAGCTTTTATTAAGTACTACTGCCAATTCTGCGCTTGCAAGGCTAATAATAAGTAATTTTGCATTACAAAAATTAATATTTTCTCATTTTTTTCATTTCTTGCCCCTGCAGATCTTTCCCACAATAATTAGCAGTTGTATTTTATTTTTACGTTGCGGATGAATATGTTGTGTTGAAATCTCCATTCAACCTGCACGTTAATGATGGGCAAAACATGAGAGAAATTACTGGGATTGAAAAGCCATCGCACATGATGAGACTGACGTTCCGGTGGTAAAAACACGCTATAGATGTCCACTTTAACCTTTCAAGTAATGTATGAGGAGAGCACTGATTGTTGTATTTTCATTAAAACTGTTTCAGCTGTAAATCATCTGCAACATGGATGTATCTTGGCATAAATCATACAATAGCCTCTGTGAAATCCGACTGTACTGTAACGTATTATCATCCTTTTTTGCAGGTAGTTTACATAGTAATCATTCCAGAAGCACTATGTCCGGCTTATCGCGCTATTTTCGGGAGCTGCGCTCCGATGGACGGACTGTAAATTACAGAAACACAGTGCTCGTGATGCGTGACAACGGCCAATGGTGGCTAGGAAGTGTCCAAGATATTGACGGCGACTACTTCTTCATTGACTTCGATGCCAGCACCATCCCTATCGAATGGATCCATTCTAAATTTGTATACCCGCATCGTAGGATCCGGTATCGTGGCCTTACATCATCAGTTCCTCAGATTTCCTTGCATGCAGCACTACAGGACGAACCCGGCGGACCGTTCATATTCCGACCAGCTACTGTGATTGAAGATAGAAACTCAATATACTGCATGTTCTGTGCGGTCAGCTTAAATCAGCCAAACACATCCTCTAGTTCACCGGAATGCCGGGTTGTGCCGGTCTGCCACCTGACCGAACATCTGCCGTTGCAAACTGACGAGGAAAGTTTCCATCGACGGCCTAACGGACTAAGCTACCGGAAGCACATCGTGTCTTTCAATCAGGCACATCTGTTGCGCCCAAGTTTCTGGTTCCCACATGCCAAGTACTCTTACTCTCTAGTGACCCGTGTAATGACCGCTGCCGGTTTAATAAGATAACCAACACGGATGAGGTTTATTTTTCGTTATAAAAAAAACCATACGGGCGCGGAGTACTATTTCGAGGTAGATTGTCGTGTGTTTGTGCGAGCGGAAATCGACACGGTCACATTCATTTGCGCCGAAGTGCATGGTGACGCAGCGGGACGCAGTTTGTTCTGGAACGAAGATAGTCTCAGAAAATCGTGCCAAAACTACCTCACCGAGCAACAGTCGCGAGGAATCGAACGAGGAAACATGATTTTGGTCCCACCGAACTCCCCACTATTCAGCTTACAACACGGTGAGTGGCAAAATATGCATCATTGCACATCATGTTAGAAAAATCGTTTCATGCAAGAAATTATTGACTCTATTGGACACTCAGCTGGAGCGCGACAGCAAATAAATGAAACATGAAGGATAGGAAGAAATAAACTTCAAATAAGGGTGTAATCAAATAAAGTGTCAGATAATTGAGTAACTACTGAAAGATGTTTCCCTGTTTTGCGCCACAAAATCGTTTCACCTGCAGCTGAATACAAAGGACAAGCTTCTGGTTCTCTCTTTCATACTTATATGCGCTTGCTTTCATACATAAAAATATGTGTATCTGTATACGTATCCAGTAGTGCTTTGTACAGTAAAACAAAATAAAGCTATGCGGCAATACTATCAAATTCACTTTTCTTTACTTGTTAATGCCGCTTCGATACTATTCGATCTAAAATTGCTATTGTATTCTACGAAGTACTCATATTGTATTACGTACCGTAAAGGACAGTCCAAAGAATAAATAAACTGCAACAATAACAACAGTGTTAAGCGTTGAATTAATATAACGGCAGATACCTACTCTATGTGTTCTGTTATACATTATCTGTGATTTTGCACCGCTTTTTTTACCGGCGCGGAGAAAATCTGAAAAACTGATGTAAATGTAATGGTACAGTATTTGAGCTTTGATTTGTCTATACTTCTGTTTAGATGCGTAAAATTATCAAGTACGATCTTCCCATCTTAACTTATGCTTTCTCTAACCAGTGCACGGTGAAAGTATAGAAAATAAGACTTCCATAATTGTTGACAACTATCTCAGTTAGTGGTCAGTCGTACATG